TGATCTTGTTTACCAGTACAGAAAAGTCGGCTCGGACAGGACACATCACTAGAAGCGACGTGGTAACGTGGGAACACACACATACACATAAGATGATTCTCATTGCAGTGATGGTGCTATGAGATCAGCTTGCGTGCAGGAGCCAGAGAGATTGTGGTACCACGGGACCATGATGGATGAGGACGACATGGAGAGGCATTTACCAGTGTGGGTAGATAATGGGTGATGTTGATGATGATTCAGAATAATCTTAGTCAGATTTTTCAACCTCGCAAAACACTGCCAATTGTGAAATATACATATGGTCAACCTGTGAGTATAACAATTGTCTTTATTTATTGTAGTAGTTGCAGACACAAGATCCGAGGTGGGCATGAATTAATCATAATCATCATCAGTTGTCATTACAGCATTTGTTTTTTAAATAGCTGTCAATTAAAATACATGGTTATTTTTTTTTATACTAAAATAGTTTTGGCACTAATTAGATCAGTCTGCATTTCTTCCCACTCAACCCCTCACCCTCCACGTCCCTACTTGTAAGAACAAAAATTCTCGAGCGCTAACAGAATGAAAAACGCTTATAGAATCATAATAACTAGTTTACCATAGTTTTTTTACGTAACTTGTACAAAAAAATAGCTGTTGCTGTATATACATTTCCAAAGGTTAAATCTTAACTTTTAACAATAACAAGACTACGCTTCAATGTCGAGAAGAAGAAAAGTTAATACTGTGCAGTAAGTAATAATGTTTTTACTGCTCACTTACAGTAATGCTGATAATATTTGAAAATTTAATCAAGAGGAAGTGGTCAGATGCAGAACTTCCACCACAGCATAAACACATACATGCACATGCAAGTCTTGACTCTTCAACAAACCTTGACTCTTCAACAAACCATAAACACATACATTCCATTTCCTTCAAAAGTATTTGACGTGGTTCTATTCTACGTTACTTTACCGAATAGAACCAAAGAGTATGGATCCTTGCAGTCACGAAAGCTTTAAATCTAGTATTTGACGTGGGTTTTCAGCCAGAGTTGTTTGACCGTACAGGCAAAACAACCCCAACAGTTGGTAACTCATAGTGTGCTGTGAGCAATGGAATTGGGGAGGAAGGCTCATATGAATTATCTGTTTTGATTTAAAGCTTTCATGACTGCAGGGATTCATATTCTTGGTTCTTTCGGTAAAGTCACGTAGAAGGGAAACAAAAAAAACAAAAAAAATATTTTAAAAAATTCTCACGACGTTTCGACTGCAACACAAGCAATCATCATCAAGTGTGAAAACCACAGCCACTTTTTTTCAAATTTTCTTGCTGTGGTTTTCACACCTGATGATATTTGGTTTCCCTTCTACATGACTTTACCGAAAGAACCAAGAATATAATTATCTGTTGTTCACAGCCATCACAGTGGCCAACAGGGACTCTGAATGGGTTTGAGGGGCTGGAAACCCCTCCACCATCACTTAAATTTCCCCAAAAATACATTTTAAAGAGCAAAATAAATAGGCCTGGGCCAGAGACCCCGGGGGGACAGGCGCCTATGACATGTCCTGGCCAAACCCCATCTGGTCGAGCCAGGAGATTGAACACCATGGTTGGCTGCATAGAACGTTTGGATTCTCACTGTGGAGGAGAGGCTGCCATTCCTATCGGGAGCTGGACCAAGACCGCCGAAAACTCTGTGGAATACAGGAGGCTCTGTGGTCTAGTTCTGACTCCAGTCACTACGAGGGGTGGACAGTCCTCCGCTCGGCAAGAAACTGTCAAACAACAAGCAATGACTCTTCTTCTGAACAAAATAATGAAGGGAGCGTGGGAGCATGGTGGTGAGGTGTGGGAAGCTGTGCTTCCCAGGCTACTGTGGGCTCACCTCCCCATAAAACTGAGGCAAGGATTGTTGGTGGTAGTGGCTTCCATCCCCACTGAAGAAGAACATCAGTGGTGGGATGCAGGCAAGGTTGATGAGTCAGGTGTCTTCTATGACCTCATGCTGACTAAAGTGGCCCCTCGGGATACAGTCATCCTGTTGGATGACTTTAATGCCAAAGTGGGTCATAACGGAGGCACCTGGGCTGGAGCGATTGGAAGGCATGGACCAGATCAGCTCAATAACAACAGTAGGACGCTGCTAGACTTCTGTGAAGCCCCGTGGGCTTGTAATCACCAACACGCTGTTTTGACAACAACACACATCATGGATGTAGAGCAGATCCAAGCAAGAATACCCACAATAGCCTGGTCAACAGTTTGCTGATGATAGTTGCAAGTGAAAAATCTCATCTTTTGCAGCTGGGGCTGGCATTGTCCCCCCTCGGGGAACCATGGAGGAGGCGTTCCGGACAGCTGAGAGAAAGCGAAATTCCCTTTCCCGCAGCATCTCACTTCTGAAGATGAGGCTTAACCGCAGCCTTTGTTCAGAGGTTCGGAGACCTGTGCGTCACTGCAAGAATAAGTGGTGGCCATGGGTGGCTGAGGAGATGGAACCTGCCAGGACACCTTATGATCACGAATTAGTCTTTAAGTTCCATAGCAAAAAAACAAAATTCGCAGTACCACATCTATCACCGTGCTTAAGGGTAAAAAAAAACTGTTCTTGAGCATTTCTGAGGTGATGGGGGAAAAGGGAAGCCCCCTCATCCCAGATGATATGATGGGAAAAGGTTGGGTTAGCCATTTGCTGGGGCTGTTGTGCCTCAAAATATAAAGAGGAAGTAAGCCCCCGTTGTGCGCTATATATTTAGTATTCGTGACAATTATTTAATGTCCATTACCAAGGCCATTAAGCGATTTAATGCTGTCGATAAGTGAAGAAATAATACGTAAGTGTATTAAATGTTGTCCATTTTTAAACGTATTTAATCAATCGTAGCAACAAATCGAGTTAGTTTTTGTAACTTATATATACTGTAATAAAAAAAATAGCCACACAGCTAGTCAGAGTTGTTGAACGTATGTAAATGAAATATAGCAACAAATCTAGACGGAGTGTATCCTATGCTTTTAACCCCTTACCAGTACCTAGCTTATTACAGACCAATTCAGACCTTATTGGTCACCCCGTGCCCCTTATAAATCTCAACGTTCATCCTACAAAGTCCCATCACAAGGGAGAAACACAAACAAATTTTCAATTATTATTATTTTTATTTTTGCCCGTATTGAAACGGCTGCACGCTGTATGAACTTTGAACACCCAATTTCCCTCTACAGGAATACTGGGTTAAATCGTATGGGTTGACACGGTATGGTGAGTGAATATTTTCTTATATAAGCGCACAACTTTATCTATCTGTGATGAACGCTGTACTTTCCGTAGTTTTCCTGCAGGGGGCGCTGCGAAACCTGCATGCCCCCTGCATGAACGACGGAGGCGCAGGGACAGACGTTCGATCACGTTGGAATCGATTTGCACGGCCAGCTCTGTGTCACCTTAGGGGCCGTCCATAAATGACGTCACGCACCTAGGGGGGGGGGGCGTGGTCAGACATTTGTGAGGATGTGTGACGAGGGGGGGGGGAGTTTGAGAAATGTGACGTCACATAAAATGCGCAACTTTAAATAAATATAGACAACACGTTCTACTTAATTAATTAGACTTTTTTAATAAATGTTTTCCCCTACAACATCAGAGTGCAGCGCCACATTAAATACGCACTACAATGACAATAGTTTAAAGCGATTTGAAGCATGTTCTTTTTTTTGGGGGGGGGGGGGGGTGCAGAGCTTTGTGACGTCATATTTGAGGGGGGGTCTGACTTTTTGTGACGCCGTGTGACGAAGGGGGGGGTAAAAAATCGTCCAAAATCGCGTGACGTCATTTATGGACGGCCCCTTATCTCGATCCCACGATCCCATAATCCCAAACAGGTGAAAGTCCGCATCGAACCGAACTGCCAGCAAGGCCATCTACTTAACGACGAGAGAAAATTCACACGAAATGTCATTTTTAATTAAGTCTTCCAGATGTAAAATGATTTAAGCTTTTGATGAGGAAGTAAAATGATCTAATTCAAAACATAATACAATTCAAACATGTTTAATTTTAAAACTTCAAAACGGAGCATCGCATGCTTGTGTGAAAACTCCGTAACGCTATCATTAATAATAACCATTAGCGGGTGACGTCACTTCACATGGCGCACCCCCCTCATGAATAATCACGAGTGGGTGACGTCACTCCACATGAAGCACCCCCCTAATTAATAATCACGAACAGATGACGTCACTCTAGATGGCGCACCCTCCCTCATGAATAATCACGAGGTGACGTCAGTCCACATGGTGCACCCGCACCCCCATCATGAATAATCACGAGCGGGTGACGTCACACCCTCCCCTCCCCTTATTAGTAGTACGGAGTTAGACTGATGGCCTTAATCTAAGTTGTCTTGTGGTTGCGTGACTTAAGATGTTTTCTTGTTTTTGTTTGTTGCGGTTGCACCCGATTCAAGAGCCGAATGGCTCACAGGGCTATACCAAAATAAATGAAACTGAATTTTTTTTAATAATAATCATGAGCGAACATTAATTTCGATTGAATATTTCTGATTTACTGCAATAACCCCTGCCTTGGACGGGCTATGTAGGCTCGTACTTTATATCGCAGCCGAAGGCAGACTCTTTATTTAGACTGGAGGAATCCGATGAGCTGTGAAGCTCTTTTTCTAGATGTGAAGCTTTCGTGACTGCAAGGATTCGTACTGTTTGGTTTTATTCGGTAAAGTCACGTGGTTAACATACGCGACGCGTCACGGCATTCACCCCCCCACGCAACATGGCGCTGACTTCCACACGCACACCGATATATGACGTCACGTCCGATCGTTTTCACATTAATACAAAAAAAGCACTCCGAAAGAAGGGACCATCGCTAGAAACGTCGCCGATCATTATGAAAGGCGCAAGTGCGGTGACGAGTGCGTTGAGTTTGAATTCTGTTCTCGTGCTCTGTGTTTACGTGCATATCCAGGTGCATATACTGTATAGGCGTGTGGTGACGTATAGGCGTGTGGTGACGTCACGCACGGTTGACTTTTGACCCCTCCCTCCACCAAAATTTGGCGCGAACTTTTTGCGCGTCGCGTCGTCATCTCGACGCTTGGATATTTATTTAACGCCTTAGGTTTTTTTAGCTATTTTATCTATTTTAAAAAAAACCCTCAACGTATTGCCGTAACAACAATAATAAAAACCCCATACAGACGAAGAGAAGAAAATGCAGAGATCCATCGCGTACGTATGCGGAGCGGCAGAGGAGTGTTCGAGCCGCGTGGGCCTCGAGGATAGCTGCGCGCCGGTTCTCGATGCTGTGATAAAGCAGCCGTAACAACTTCTATAATCATTGTCGTTATTATACACATATATAGCTCCTTTTGTCGAGCCATTGCTCTATACGGTGCTCCGTTGCGGGTTTCGTGAAGGCGGGAAGCCTAGGAGTGCAGTACAATGTGTTGTTTTCGCAGAGGCCACCGTGTATGTAGGTTAACCCCAGGTTCAAGCACACCCTGCTAAGCCTGCGAGACCTGGCGGGGATCGGGCGGCGCGCATCGGTGTGGCCAGGGCCTCGCAGCAAGAGGCTTCCCGAGTTCGCGGCCCGGCTTAGGATTATTCCCATATATAAAACAGTGTCATTGGTGCGGACAGAACACTCGAATGTAACAGTACTCTCCTGAACAAGACTTGGGGCTCGGCATATGTTCAGTATGTTGAATTTCTTTCGCGCCGTACGTAGCCAACCGTGCTAATCGCGGTGTTGCTTTCCTTGTAGGGTAAATGCGTAGATTTTAAACTACATGTTTTACTTTTTGTGTTTAGTAGTCCTTGCCCCCACACCTCCGATCAGCACGGTTGGCCACGTACGGCGCGAAATAAGTTCAACAACGTGCAGTATACATGCAAAAGTTATCCCGGGTGAATCGTGATTAGTAATCGGATGCAAGAAGCCAGGGAAGACTGAATTAAATACAATTTGAACAGTTGAACGCAACAAAGAGTGCTGTCTGTATATATTACACGTTTCTTGAGTAATATGGACGTGTTAATACTTAATATAAACGAATGCTAAATACATTGTAGCCCAAGCACGTAGTATTGTGCCTCACCGCGTGTCGTCTAAGTGGCAGGAATGCCATCATCGCCAACATCTTTGAGAAGGGACTTGGCACGATATCGTTATTTTTGGCATCATTCGGCAACTTGAGTGATCGATTAAGTTCGCTGTTGCCCGGGTCTGTTTGCACAGGGGGTGGTGGGACAGTCGTGTTCAAAGGATAGCGATTTAGTTGTTGATCGCAAAGCCCAAAATTGCCCATTTGATAACTGCAACGGGAAATTTGGCGACGTTACAAGTTGTTTTCCGTTTAAGATGATGCATACAGCAGATGTTGGTATGTTGTCATTTTTGTTTGTTATGACTGCTTCCACACGCCAGGCTTGGAACATGTTAACGTGTTGTTGTTTTTTTTTCTGCTTGATCATTGCACTGTCATTCTCTCCCCCACAGGTCTTTTTTCCAGCCAGCAAAGGGCCAGCAGCCTGATAAAATAATACCCAAGCAGCCTGAGAAAACCAAGCCAAAACCAGAAAAAGTGTACGTGTTATAACTACCTCACCTGGTATACAGGAGGTCGTGGATTCGATCTCGGCCCTGATGTCTGCTGTCTATTTGGAGTTTGCACGTTCTCCCCATGATCGTGTGGATTTTTCTTGGGGTCCGCCAGTTTTTCCCTCCACGTTTAGAAACATGCATTATCAGAGTATTTTGTTTGTATTTTGACCACAAGTATTGTGGTTAATGCAGGCATGATTTCTTGTTAAAGGTTTCAGTTTGGTGTTTTAACAACTTAACACCTTAAATTTTGATTTAAAGCTTTCGTGACTGCAGTAATTCATATTCTAGTTTTTTCGGTAAAGTCACGTTGAAGAGAAACAACAAAATAACAAATATATATAAAACAATAAAAAAATTCTCACGACGTTTCGACCATAACTCAAACGGTCATCTTCAGGTGTGTCGGTTTGCATAAATTTATTTTTAAAACGGCGCATTTATTTATTTATATAAAAATAACGTTTAGCGTCACGCGCAAGCGATTTGGCAGTTTGCCAGGACTAGTCCATCTATTTTTGAAAAGAGGAGGGGGGAGACGAAATTTTTTTTTAATGTATGCTGTCTGAAAGCCACTGTAAGCGTGAACAATCAATCAAGAACTGAAATGATTTATCAAATCTTTCCAATGATTGCTAAGATAGAATCCATCTTCTCGGTTGAAATTGTCTCTGTGCTTGTATATGTGGATAGCCTCATGAAACGAATCTCTCATGGAAGCCAGATGGCTTACAAAGAACCTCTGTCTTGGAAAAGTCAATGGCATGTGAGCCTACTGAATTAGAACAATGATTTGCTACGGCCGAGGTGTTGGTCCTACCGTGTTTAAGGTCTGCTTTATGTTCACGAATGCGGTCCGAGACATGGCGGTTGGTTTCTCCAATGTAACTACTACCACAGAGGCAACTTAGTTTGTAGACACCAGGGTATTGTATGTCCGGAATCACATCTTTTACAGACGGAACCAGATCAACGGATTTTATGTAATGTGTTGAAATAGGACCTGGATCTTGTGTTTATTCAAGATTTTGGAGATCTTTTTTGTGATCCCAGCAATGTAGGGTAAAGTGATGGTTTTGAAAGGCTCCTCAAGAGGGTTCTTCTTCATGGTTTGAGTGATAGCTTTGCGGATTGTATAGTCGGAGTAACCATTAGCCCTAAGAGACTTGGTGTACGTGCTTGAGTTCACTGCTTATGTGTTCCTGGTCGGATATGCATTGGGCTCTATGAATACAGAGTCTTGATGAGAGAATTCTTCTGTGATGGATGGTGGTGGGAATCCGGTTTCAGATAAGCATCCGTAATGGGTAAGCTTTCCTGTAGACAGAGTGGCTCATTGAACCATCAGGTCTCTTTTTAATTAGGACATCCAAAAAAAGGTATCTTGCCATCTATTTCGACTTCCATGGTAAATCTGATGGCTGGGTGTATGGAATTGATGTGGTCGAAGAATTGGTCTAGAGCAGGCCGGCCATGTGGCCAGATGACAAAAGTGTCATCCACGTACCTCTTCCATAAGGTTGGGCGCAGAGTGCAGTCTGGATGGCGTCAGTCTCAAATTTCTCCATGAAAATGTTAGCTATAACTGGAGAAGGGGGGAGCCCATTGGGGTGCCCTCAGTTTGTTTGTAGAAAGTTCCATTCCAAGTGAAGTATGTATTGGTTAAACAGTGTCTCACCAGGGGGGGTACCTCAGTGTTTAGTCCTTGATGAACCAAGTCTTCAATGATTGCAATGGTGTCAGGTACAGGAACCTTGGTGAATAAGGAAACTACATCAAAACTGACAAGCAGGTCGTCTGGGGACAGGGAAATACCCTTGATTGTTGATACCAGGTGAGTAGAATTTTGTACCGCAGAGGTGGTCTTTCCAGTGAAAGGACGCAGGATTTCAGACAAAAAACGAGCTAGTTTGTAGGTGGGGGAGCTGATAGTAGAGACTATGGGACGAAGAGGTGTATCACTTTATGTATTTTTGGTAAGCCGTATAATCTTGGTGGCCTGGCAGCAGAAGGTTTCAACGAAAACTGTTTAGATTGATCAATTAATGCGGTTGAATCAGAAATTATTTTGTTGGTTTGTGTGACGAGGCTGTTGGTGGGATCTCTTTTTATTTTTGTATAACTACCATCGTCGAGTAATTCTTTAATTTTGTTGTTGTATTCTATTTTATCCATGATGACAGTAGCATTGCCTTTGTCAGCTGAGAGGACTACAATATCATTCCTCTTTTTTAATTTATATAATTCAAAACGCTCATCTTTGCTGAGGTTGCTAGCTGGCATCTTAGCGTTTTTGAGGGTTGCAGCGATTTCAGATCTTGCTACGTCTGCAGCGATGTGACCCAGGCCCCTGAGAGCAACGTCTACTTGGGCAATTATATCATTAACTGGTATGTGTTTAGGTGTGACTGCATTAGCAAAATGAGCGTTTTGAATTATATAAATTAAAAAAGAGGAATGATATTGTAGTCCTCTCAGCTGACAAAGGCAATGCTACTGTCATCATGGATAAAATAGAATACAACAACAAAATTAAAGAATTACTCGACGATGGTAGTTATACAAAAATAAAAAGAGATCCCACCAACAGCCTCGTCACACAAACCAACAAAATAATTTCTGATTCAACCGCATTAATTGATCAATCTAAACAGTTTTCGTTGAAACCTTCTGCTGCCAGGCCACCAAGATTATACGGCTTACCAAAAATACATAAAGTTGATACACCTCTTCGTCCCATAGTCTCTACTATCAGCTCCCCCACCTACAAACTAGCTCGTTTTTTGTCTGAAATCCTGCGTCCTTTCACTGGAAAGACCACCTCTGCGGTACAAAATTCTACTCACCTGGTATCGACAATCAAGGGTATTTCCCTGTCCCCAGACGACCTGCTTGTCAGTTTTGATGTAGTTTCCTTATTCACCAAGGTTCCTGTACCTGACACCATTGCAATCATTGAAGACTTGGTTCATCAAGGACTAAACACTGAGGTACCCCCCCTGGTGAGACACTGTTTAACCAATACATACTTCACTTGGAATGGAACTTTCTACAAACAAACTGAGGGCACCCCAATGGGCTCCCCCCTTTCTCCAGTTATAGCTAACATTTTCATGGAGAAATTTGAGACTGACGCCATCCAGACTGCCACTCTGCGCCCAACCTTATGGAAGAGGTACGTGGATGACACTTTTGTCATCTGGCCATGGCCGGCCTGCTCTAGACCAATTCTTCGACCACATCAATTCCATACACCCAGCCATCAGATTTACCATGGAAGTCGAAATAGATGGCAAGCTACCTTTTTTGGATGTCCTAATTAAAAAGAGACCTGATGGTTCAATGAGCCACTCTGTCTACAGGAAAGCTACCCATACGGATGCTTATCTGAAACCGGATTCCCACCATCCATCACAGAAGAATTCTCTCATCAAGACTCTGTATCATAGAGCCCAATGCATATCCGACCAGGAACACATAAGCAGTGAACTCAAGCACGTACACCAAGCTCTTAGGGCTAATGGTTACTCCGACTATACAATCCGCAAAGCTATCACTCAAACCATGAAGAAGAACCCTCTTGAGGAGCCTTTCAAAACCATCACTTTACCCTACATTGCTGGGATCACAAAAAAGATCTCCAAAATCTTGAATAAACACAAGATCCAGGTCCGTTTCAACACATTACATAAAATCCGTGATCTGGTTCCGTCTGTAAAAGATGTGATTCCGGACATACAATACCCTGGTGTCTACAAACTAAGTTGCCTCTGTGGTAGTAGTTACATTGGAGAAACCAAACGCCATGTCTCGGACCGCATTCGTGAACACAAAGCAGACCTTAAACACGGTAGGACCAACACCTCGGCCGTAGCAGATCATTGTTCTAATTCAGTAGGCTCACATGCCATTGACTTTTCCAAGACAAGGTTCTTTGTAAGCCATCTGGCTTCCATGAGAGATTCGTTCATGAGGCTATCCACATATACAAACACAGAGACAATTTCAACCGAGAAGATGGATTCTATCTTAGCAATCATTGGAAAGATTTGATAAACCATTTCAGTTCTTAATTGATTGTTCACGCTTACAGTGGCTTTCAGACAGCATACATTTAAAAAATTTCGTCTCCCCCCTCTTTTCAAATATAGATGGACTAGTCCTGGTAAACTGCCAAATCGCTGCGCGTGACGCTAACGTTTTTTTATAAATAAATAAATGCCCGTTTAAAAATAATTTATGCAAACCGACACACCTGATGATGACCGTTTGAGTTATGGTCGAAACGTCGTGAGAATTTTTTATTGTTTTATATATATTTTATTATTTTGTTGTTTCTCTTCAACTTGACACCTGTTTTGTGAAACATTCTCATGCATTGAGTATTTGGTTGCTATACATTTACACATGATAAGCCACTAAGTTGAGCTGTCATTTGTGGACAGGTCGCTTCTGAAAAAGAGCAAAACAGCTCATTGGGCCTAACCTGGTAAAAAAATGTTAATCTAATACAAATTGATGCAAATATATTGTTCCTAAAGCATGGAGTATAGTGCCACACTATGTCATCTAATTGCCAAATTCATATTAGTTATGAATGCTCATCATAGCATCTTAAGGTCGTCTTTATTCTACCCGTAGGATGTAAGCTATCGGATATATCTTTGTCGATGAATGTGTAACATTGACCACTCGATCAACATTGGATAGCTGGATTAATTAACATTGTACTTGGTGAATGATTCATTCGTTAACTTGTTATATACTGCATGTGGATTATGAAACGTAATTTATCCGTTGGTAAAATATCCAATGATGTTACAAAGGAATCTCATTTTATAAGTTGTCTATAGTTTAACACGTAGGCTGTGTAAGGTGGGGGCGGTTTAATGACGACATTTATGTGATCTAACCCAAAAAAAACATCTATCATGGAAGTTATCTATAATTACCAAAGTTGCTTTTGAAATGCGGCCCTCAATTTTGTGTAATTGTGTGACTTCCTTAGAGTGACTAAAACGCCACTTAAAGCAAAGAAGAATGGTTGCTCTCCACCTGCTGCTGACAACACCGATTCCCCCGTTAAAAGATCTACAAAGAAAACGCGGCGAGTCCTGGAGAGCGATGACGACGATAACGATGATGACGATAACATTGACGAGGAAGCACGTAACAACAGTGTGCTGAAGAGCACAGGCTCGGAAAAGAGCAAAACCACGGAGAACACCGTTACCCCGGATAAGAATGCGATGCGGGTAAAGAGGGAGACCCCAGAAAGGAAGCCAACACCAGAGCAGAAGAAGACTCCTAAGAATAGTAAAGTCTTAGTGGAGAAGGACAAAACAGCAGGGCATGAGGTGAAGTCGAATGGGAAGAGTAAGGAATCACCTGGCAAACAGAGTGACGGGGAGGTCGACACCTCTACCTCTGAACCCGAGGTAAAGAAACTTTGTAATTTTACACGTTTTTTACCGCATGATGACTCTGCTGCGTGATATGGAATTTATTTAGACCTGGTTGTATGTGTAGTGGCTTTCCAGGCTGGTTGAAATCTAATTGAGTTTTGTTGGCTCAATCGCTGACTGGTTAACATGGTCAAATAGCATGCTCACCAGAAAATTAGAAGCTAAGTTTCTGTAAACTGGATGTTAAACATTTCTCCCATTTAATTCTCACACTTCACCTCCCCTTCAACTCCACTGGCTTTCCTTTTACCACGACTGTCTTTGCAAATAGCTGATGGTAGTCTTTAAATCTCGCGATGGCCGAGCCCCACCTCATCTCGCCTCTCTCATCTACTTCCATGTCCCCTGTCATCCTTTTCATCCCCAATTTTCTCTGTCCCTCCTCCGTGCCCAGTCCCTCCTTGCATCCCTCCACTGGAATAAACTTGTACGTTAAGGAGTCCCCCTCCTGAATCTCCTTCCATTCCTCTCTAAAGCCAACCTCTTCTCTATTGCCCTTGATCTTCCCTTCCCTCACCCCTCCACTCCTTACTGTCACTCCCCTACCCTTTTGTGATCCCCAAGTACCCTCTCACTGTCACTCATTCCTCAATCTTTGCACGCCTCTGCCATCTAAATCATTCTATTGTCACCGTGTGTAAAACTACAGCAAGCGCATTGAGTGAAGGCGCTCTGTAAAATTATATATGCATATACATTGCGCATCATCAATGCTGTGATCTTAACTAGCCAAATCTGGACAATTTACTAAATGAAGTAAAAACACTTCCCTGCTTGAGCTGGATGTACCTGACAAATACACCACAAGCCCTAATCTGTATTGAATTTGTGGGTGCTATTCATAGAAAAATTCATTGATTGAGGGATTTTTTTTTTATCATATCCATGAAAAATCTTTATCGACTAAATTTGACTCTAATAACCATGCTGGTGTTCCATGACTACATTTTGGCAAAGAGATCACTTGTTTGGCAGATTGCATGACTAATTGGAGATGTATGTATTTTTTTCTGTTTAATAGCCATGATGGGGTTTTTTTTTTGTTATCCACTTTCTGGTCCGCAGGCAGGCAAGGCAAAGGAGACTGAAAACAATGTGGATACCAAGACTGGGACTTCAAGTCCCACGCTGCACACATCCCCGGAAGGAAATTTGGTCATCCCAAAGCGCAAGACAGGTCAGGTGCCAGCCTTGTACATGGATCTAAGACACAAATAAAATTGAACTGTGACATGCAATTTATAATTCGAATTTGCAGTAAATGAGTGAAAATAATAGAAGTTGAATTTTGAAGTGTAAATGTCATAGATAATTTATATAAATTCACTCATTCGATTCACTTAAGTGACTTACATTGCAATAATTGTTTAGAGTTTTGTTTTAATAGCTATAGTTGCTTATTACCTAAAAGTTATATTTTATATTGTGATGTGCAAAACAACTTGAAGCAGTGCTACCATGTGACATTGGAGGCTTTTTAGAAGGCTGACAGTTGTACTATGGTGTTTTTTTTCTGTGAATGCTTCATAATGTATTGTCAGATTGCTGTCTGTAGGTAATGCTGGGAATAATTATTTAGTTTGGCTTTCTACATGGCAATAACATGGTGTGATTACCATTAAAAACCAAATATACTTTTTAGTCTTTTTTTTATGAGCTTCATTAACTCTCTATAGGTCGGTGTTCTTTCACAAAGTTTCAGGGGAGGGGTGGGCACTTTAACCGATAAGACGTCAGTGTGAGAGCCGTCACACCTCCTGCAAGGGGGGTGGATTGTCGGGGGTCGCACTAAAGACCACCATGGGCCACCAGTGGCCCCACGGGCCTTGCAATGAAGAACGTTGCTTTAGATTAGTTCAAGGACGATGTTCACAGTCACAGTTGCTCTCCAAAAAAAAAATGTATTTGTATGGTTAGGATTCAGAAAAAAAAGGTTTTAATCGTGGCTCTATGGCTTATCGTCCTGTGTACGCTTGTGCAGCCCGTAAACAATTACCTAAGCGGAAGCTCGATGCCTCCCCTGAAGCCTCGGATTCCTCCAAGAAGCCCAAACAAGAGGACACAGGAGACACACGTGAGTTGCTACTCCCACTTGTTTTCTTTTGCCAACTTTGCAAAAGGAGATTAATTTCATGTAGCGCAAAGGTCTATTAGAAGAAACTTGTGGAGAAGAAACCTAGGGGATGGTAATTTAGTTGTGGTTGATAAAAAAATAAAAAAACATTTGTTGATGCTTTGACAGTACCCTTCAGAATTTGTTAATGTAGTTTACTCCGTGAGAGCCCATTGAGATGGTCTCATGTGGAAAGGAGACCTGGGAAATTATGGATAAGAATGGTTATCAACTTCCAGTTCAGTTAAACGTGACGGTCATTTCAGATGCGAGCTATTATATCAGCAAACATTGGCCTAATTTTAATAATGAGGTTCCCCAGAGATGACCTGCTAACTAAGGACAGACTACGTGAGAATAATATTGCCTGCACTGATAAAATCGTGGTTTGGAATTTAGGCAAGCTACTTATTAAATTTGGTTCTCAAGTGTCATGAATCATTGGTCTCAGCCTAGTTGGCAAATACTGCACCTAAATTAGTTTCCATCATAGCAATTTTGTTTATGACTTAGATTTTTTATATTTCATCTGAGAATTAAAATATTCAGTTTGCTGATTGTGAAAGTTATGAATAAGGGTGTATTTCATTACAAATAGTGGCATATAAAAAACGCGTCCTTGTGGATAGTGACTGCAATAAATGTCCGCATTCAACCACAGTAAAGTGATGTGCACTGTTCTAACTCTCTTTTTCTTTTGTTTAAAGCAGCCAAGAAGCAGGAGACGATACCCACGAGCAAAGAGCAAGGGCAGAATGTGGCCGAGCCAATGGACATTGATACGTCGGCGACTGAAGCAGAGATCACGAAACCAAAGGACAAAGCAAACACAAGCGCAGACTCCGCACAGGAGCCCACTGCTGAGGAAGCCTCCCCCGAGCGTGAAAATAAATCTGCGGAGAAGAAGAAGAAAATGGAGGAAAGGATAATTTCTCCAGATAAGGCAGATGATTCTTCAAAACAGACACCGAAGAAGAAAGCAACAGAGAAGCCAGCCCCCAACAGCAAGGGCAAAGAAGTCATGAGCAGCTTTTTTGGTGAGGCTACAGTAACGTATTGTACTGCAGTGTTTTTTGTGGCATCAAAAGCACGTGGTTTCACACAGTCAATAGGGGTGACACCATGGCAGCCCGCACATGGGGCGTCAACGGAGATGGGGTGAACCAGGTTGTAATCGTTTGTGACCTTCTCGTGCCTTCAGCGCCGAGGAAGAGCTGCGCCAAGGTCATGGAGGAAGAGCAGAAGGTGCCGGAGGAGAATAAGAACACGGCAGATGAAGAGGTAGAGGAAAAGAAAGAGAAGACGGACAAGGAAAAGGCTGTTGACAAAGATGTTACACCGAGCCACAAGCCTATTAGCAGGTATTTGTAAATCTTAATCAAGATACTTAAGTTTGATCAACATTCCATAAAGCAGTCGAATCATTGGTCAATACAGCACAGTGACAAATAACAAAAATTCCTTTCCCTTATAGCCCAAACATATAAGCTTAACTTTTACTACATATCTGGAGAATGGGTTTAGACTGAAGCGAGCTATTTGGTTGATGTTGCTTATAGGAGCAGTTTACAACTTTTCAGCACTTTGGGCAGGTATATAGTGTCAACAGGCAAAAGATCAAGACAAATGAAACGTTACAGAAGTGAGCCTTCCTATTTATGTGGAAACTTGTTCTCATTTATTCGTAATTCTTGTTTCGTATGGCTAATGTAGATGCAGAATAACTACAATTTCACATTCATGTGGTCAAAACAGATAACCACATCAGGAGCTGCGGAGTGTATCGCTGTAATGTCTCCGTATCTGTGGATCATCGTGTATTGCGTCATTATATGCTGTTTCGGTCTGTTCTGGATCACCACAGTCGCACACTGGAGAGTGACTTAATTTTCTATTTGTGCATCGGGTATCTGCATCTGCCATGGTTTGTGTGGATGCGATTTAGGGGGTGGACACTGAGCTAGGGTAGACCGATTTAGGATGGATTGATTTGGGGTGGACTATTTTAGTAATTCCATCAATGCTACTGAGTGCCATATTGTAAGAGCCGACCTTTCACTATGGAGCACCCCAAAAATTAAGTTACAGTTGGATCCCATTAAAAACGCACATTATTTTTGCATGGGACACTTGTCAATGTATAGGCCAATGAATACAATGTTTTTAGGTTATTTCAACAACCTAAGCATATATTATAATCTGAATAAATCAGAATATATATTTATACTGGAGGAATCCAATGAGCTATAAAGCGCTTTTTCACAGATGTCCAGTCGAAGCAGGTCAGAATGTTGAATAAATATGCGCAGATTATTAATTATTTACCTTGTTTATGAGTGTTTTGTTGCTTATGCCCTCTTAAGCTTTTTTGGAGGTGGAAAAGTGGAGACGACACCGGGCTCACAAGAAAACTACAATCCCGCGAAAAGCCATTACCACCCAATAAATGATGCCTGCTGGGAACATGAACAAAGGTGAAGAGCTTGCTATCCAGCACTCATTCCTGTAACTTCGAGACAGTTGTGACATATATATCACCCATTCACTTCACTAGGCTTGCATGGTTGATTCAGGCTTGCATGATCTCACAAAGATTGCATGATCTTGCATGATCTCACAAAGATTGCATGATCTTGCATGATCTCACAAAGATTGCATGATCTCGCCACCTTGGGGGCGCCACAGTGGCGAGATGTTAACTACCTCGCCTGGTATACAGGACGCTGTGGGTTCGGTCCTGACCCTGACGCCTGTATATTTGGAGTTTGCATGTTCTCCCCATGGTCGCCTGGATTATTTTCCGGGTCCTCCGGTTTTTCCCTCCACATTTCTAATCAACGTGTTTCGAGTATTTGGCTGCTATGAATTTGCACATGATAAACCACTTCATTCAGCTGTCATTTGTGACCAGGTCGCTTCTGTAAAATAGTTTTTTAGCTCATTGGGCCTTACCTGGTTAAAAACATATTGTTTAGATTCAATTCATAATACAATTTGTATCACAGTATCAAAATGTTGCCTGGTTCTCATCCTTATGGAGGTCATGAAAAAACAATGGAAGATGTTGACCTTGAATGTGGAGAAAATGAGCGGGGAACCTACATTTACTGAGCTGTATGCATCTGTGTGCCTCATTCCTCGAATCACCCTCAATCACCCTCAATAGATCATCACCTTGCTCTTCTGAAATCATCCCACATTTTAGGAAAAAGGCCAGTGTCCCCAAATTTGTGGTCAGGAGTTCATATTTACGGCCACCCTTCATTCTACGTTGAACTTTCGCGCCGTACGAACCCAACCGTGCTTGGCCGCATACCAATGTTAGAAGCCCTTGTGCCGACATGAATAGGATCTTTCTAAGCAAAGCAACTACAGTGGAGTGTTTGGCTCAATCGATGAGATGAGCAAAGTAGGTTATTTCTGATAGTTATAAAGACATTACTCTTTTTGTAAATGGAGATGATGATCTTTGTGTTATAACAACTAGTTGCTGATGAAATGTGTAATATATTTACATTGTCTTGTGTGTTCAGGGTTCCCTATCTTGCCGTAGCAAGGACGTTTGAGAAAATTGAGGAGGAGTCTGCTCGGTGAGTTGACGAGGGAATTCATCTCATAAATAGGATAGTTAATGACACAACTTGATCGTCTCATGTTTCAAGGCCTTAAAACAATATTATTTTACAAATCAAATATACTGTACAATTTGCAAATGCCAAATATTTGTAATACCAAAAATCGTTAATTTAAAAAATAGTATGACATACGCGCTGCGTGGAATTTTTGGGGATTTTTTTTCAGTTGTCAACAATATTTAACACATACAGCCATGTGATCAGTCCTCAGCTGTGCAAGTCCTTATCTCAAGGTGATTGATACGCTCACAGATATAATGAAAAGCCATTCCACAACTGAAGAGCAGCGAAGGAATTATAGGGTGAGGGACCTCCAGTATTGCAGAACTTAATTGGAAGCTAAGAAATAGTTTCTGCAGTTTAAATAAGTGTAAAATAGTGTGAGGAGAAGTGAGATCAGGGAGGTTAGGAAAATGGCCAAGGATGCCCTAAAGATGAAAATAGAAGAGAGTTTGCCTTCTTGTCCTCCTTTGGCACCTCACAACAATGTTCACGTTGTCCTCACTTCAGGCTCAAGATCGTGGAGACGCTGAGCAACTTCCTGCGTTCTGTCATCGCGCTCACCCCGGACGACCTCCTTCCATGCATTTACCTGTGCCTCAATCAGCTGGGCCCTGCCTACCTGGGCCAGGAGCTCGGCATCGGGGAGACCATCCTCATGAAAGCCGTTGCTCAGGCTACCGGTGCGTGCATGCGATGGGGCGTGTTGCGTAGCGGAAGTTCCACATGAACACATTTCAACAGCGTGTGCGTGTTTTATCAACAGTGATGCTCGGCACTAGGCGGCAGGGTCCATCCCGGTCACCTCGTTCTATAGTCAAACCTGAGGTTGATACTGTGAGCATTGGTTGGTGTGAAGTCGACAGGAGGGATATGTAATTTTTACTGCTGGATTGAGGACACATGTGGTTTTCATAGAGGGGCGGAATGATGGCAATGTGGCGAGCATGCTGTTCTGAATTCGGCAACCTAAGAGGTTATTAAAACATGGGAATGGATTAATAATAGCTTTTCAAGTAATTATTGTGAAATGTGCAGATCCAATTTCTAAAGCATTTTAAATGCGGATACGTTTTTTATGGTTTTTATGTCATCCCATTTACTGTTATTTAGTCACCATAAAATATGTAATAAAATATGTATTCCACTCATATATTCTGTTGAACGTGGCTGCTGGTGTTTTTCCGATTTTCTGATTGTGCCCATACAGGGCGGCAGCTGGACAAGATCAAGGCGGAGGCCCAGGAGAAGGGAGACCTGGGGATTGTGGCCGAGTGTAGCCGCAGCACCCAGCGCACCATGTTCACCCCTCCCAAGCTGAACGCCACCACGGTGTTCAGCAAGCTCAAGGACATCTCCCGCTTGACGGGAAATACTGTGAGCCAACTTAAATTGAGTCCACTCGTTCATTTAGTACTTCCCTTAATTTATCTGGAGTATCAGAGGCTCTGGTAACCATTTATCGTGTGAAATGTATCCAGTCATTTATATACTGCACCCAGCTTGTGAACGTATGTCCCACCAGTCCACTCTTTCACGTCATCAAACCACCCATTGCACAATGTTCACCCATTCGAAGCTGACCGCTACCGCGGTGTTCACCAAACTCGAGGACATCTCCCACTTGATGGGAAATACTGAGCCAACTTAAATTGAGTCCACTCATTCATTCTGTACTTCCCTTAATTATCTGGAGCATCAGAGGCTCTGGTAACCATTTAAAGGGCCAGTCATTATACACTGTACCCAACTGGACGTATGTCCCACCTGTCCACTCTTTCACGTCATTGAACCACGCCACCTTGATCCATCTTTTCCTTTGGCCCAACCTTCAATCGTAATTAAAGGAGTCAAGCTGCCGGTGAAGCTTCCACGTTGTGAATATTTCCAGGAATAAGACCCTTCTTCGCTCTGACTATTTTTTTTAAAGCTCTCCACATCGTGAAGCTCTTAGGGGATGCTGATATCCGTTCAAGCTTTGCGTCTGTATCTTTGCTTCCAGTCTATGAACAAGAAGATTGATGTTGTGAAGACCATGTTTGTGGCCTGCCGGCACTCAGAGGCTCGCTACCTCATCAGGTGAGTGCATGTCAGTTGGCGACACCTTGGCGCCTACATGACTCTCCTTGATTTGTCAAACACCAAATGACTGCTCTTTTTTTATTTATTGAATATTTCACTCTCGTGTGATGGATGACATCCCCACTAGCCACTGAGAATCACCGTGAGTAGAACAGAGTGAGGCCAAAACCCCATGTTGCAATGTGTGATATTTAGAAATTTATCTCTAACATAAGTTGCATTTTCTTGCGTAAAAATCCCCAGTTCTTTTAAAGGTTGCGAATACGCCGTGGAGGTGATGAACAGGGCCCTGCAGTACTTAATGCTAAAGCAGTGCACTCATTGAGACCACTTTGGCTTACATCCTTCTTTTGAGGTCATAATTGTATGCCTGAGATTAGGTTTAAAGTGATGGAATAAAAACATGAGCACAGCTAAGTTTGGAAGTTTTGTAGCTCTTGCCTATGTTGGCTATAAATAACTTGACACATCTATCAGCGATTACCATTTGACAATAACCTGTATCATATATCTGTAACTATTATTTAAACTGCTCCAAAAACATCACTTAACAATAAACTCCATTATTAACTATACGACTGGTAAATAGTCAAATGTATCAATAACCAACAGAGATGAGAACTGCCCAATGGTTTTTTGCTTAGTTGAAAATTACATTAAGCTCGTTGATTTTTGACGATCACGATTGGTCACCGTATTCAGGTCACTGGGTGGGAAGCTGCGTATTGGGTTGGCAGAACAGTCCGTCATCGCTGCCCTCGCCCAAGCCGTCAGCCTGACACCTCCTGGACAAGGTAACGTGGCCATCGGTAATCACACCCGCTGGGGTAACGTGGACCATGTCTGGTGACACTCGTGTGCCATTTGTCACTTATGAGAAGGGGTTGCTGGATCATGTGGAGTAGTGGTTCTCAAAATTGTAGTCTGCAAGGCCGAGGTAAGTGATTTGTGGAGATGTTGCAGGTACAATATTTTTCATGAATGTGGAATTTCTATCACCAGCTAAAAGTCTCAAGTCAGAGATGAACACCGCCCAAATGGTTGTTTGAGAAAAGATACCCTGACTGAATGATTTGATATACAAGTAAATAAGGACCAATCACTGCAAATTATCCTTGTTTCTGGCAGAGTTCCCACCGAAGGTACTGGATGGTGGAAAAGGCATGTCACCAGACTCTCGGAAGGCATGGATAGAAGAAAAGAACCAGATTCTGAAGCAGACCTACTGGTAAGGACTGAACAACAAGATGTACAGTGAGGGAAAAAAGTATTTGATCCCCTGCTGATTTTGTACGTTTGCCCACTGACAAAGAAATTATCAGTCTATAATTTTAATGGTAGGTTTATTTGAACAGTGAGAGACAGAATAACAACAACAAAATACAGAAAAACGCATGTCAAAAATGTTATAAATTGATTTGCATTTTAATGAGGGAAATTAGTATTTGACCCCTCTGCAAAACATGACTTAGTACTTGGTGGCAAAACCCTTGTTGGCAATCACAGAGGTCAGACGTTTCTTGTAGTTGGCCACCAGGTTTGCACACATCTCAGGAGGGATTTTGTCCCACTCCTCTTTGCAGATCTTCTCCAAGTCATTAAGGTTTCGAGGCTGACGTTTGGCAACTCGAACCTTCAGCTCCCTCCACAGTTTTTCTATGGGATTAAGGTCTGGAGACTGGCTAGGCCACTCCAGGACCTTTGATGCGGTGAAGTTGTCCTGTCCCCTTAGCAGAAAAACACCCCCAAAGCATCATGTTTCCACCTCCATGTTTGACGGTGGGGATGGTGTTCTTGGGGTCATAGGCAGCTTCCTCCTCCAAACACAGCGAGTTGAGTTGATGCCAAAGAGCTCCATTTTGGTCTCATCTGACCATAACACTTTCACCCATTTGTCCTCTGAATCATTCAGATGTTCATTGGCAAACTTCAGACGGGCATGTATATGTGCTTTCTTGAGCAGGGGGACCTTGCGGGTGCTGCAGGATTTCAGTCCTTCACGGCGTAGTGTGTTACCAATTGTTTTCTTGGTGACCATGGCCCCAGCTGCCTTGAGATCATTGACAAGATCCTCCCGTTTAGTTCTGGGCTGATTCCTCACCGTTCCCATGATCATTGCAACTCCACGAGGTGAGATCTTGCATGGAGCCCCAGGCCGAGGGAGATTGACAGTTCTTTTGTGTTTCTTCCATTTGCGAATAATCGCACCAACTGTTGTCACCTTCTCACCAAGCTTCTTGGCAATGGTCTTGTAGCCCATTCCAGCCTTGTGTAGATCTACAATCTTGTCCCTGACATCCTTGGAGAGAGCTCTTTGGTCTTGGCCATGGTGGAGAGTTTGGAATCTAATTGATTGCTTCTGTGGACAGGTGTCTTTTATACAGGTAACAAGCTGAGTTTAGGAGCACTCCCTTTAAGAGTGTACTCCTAATCTCAGCTCGTTACCTGTATAAAAGACACCTGGGAGCCAGAAATCTTTCTGATTGAGAGGGGGTAAAATACGTATTTCCCTCATTAAAATGCAAATCAATTTTTGACATGCGATTTTCTGGATTTTTTTGTTCTTCTGTCTCTCACTGTTCAAATAAACCTACCATTAAAATTATAGACTGATCATTTATTTGTCAGTGGGCAAACGTACAAAATCAGTAGGGGATCAAATATTTTTTTCCCTCGCTGTATACCATCGTGCAGTGTTTCTGTAGCTGCTGCTGAGACATGGTTTTATAGCTCTTGCCTTCCACCAGTCTAGCCTGTGATCTGAATGGCAAACAACAAAAGCTGGCCACATGGAGCTTTTTGCCTATGGAGTAGATAATGTATGGCCAGCTCAGTTTGGCGTTGGTTTCATTGTGTGCTCATGCCCTATAAGCAATCTGTTCAAGAATTACTGCCATCCAGATCACTCCTCGTCACATTTCCAATTTAGTCGGTATAAAAAAAGAAGCAAGGGCAGAGCGATTCCAGGTCACGACTAACTTCAGTAGCGAGTGATAATCTGAACCCCTTCCTGGACCCACCCCGCCCCCGTTCACCAATTGCAGTGAAGCGTGGTCAAACATCTTGCACGTCTGGCACCTATGGCATCGGGACGCCGTCATCCAGCGTTGAATTAACGAAGCTGTAAATTATTCTAATGATGAAGTTGCTGCATTGGTGGAAATTTTACAGTTGATAAGTTTTTATTAAAAATAATAGGTGGAGTTTTTTTACTTTGAATTTAAGAAATATTGTCACCATCGATTTACATAGAAACCACCATTTTAATTGTCAAATACGTAAGATAAGGCCACACAACTGAAACTATAGTCTTCATTTCCCTTCATTGATCGTAAAAGATTTAAATTAATCATTGACTTAATCTCATTGCAATGTAGTAGCCATACTCTTCTCTATGGAGAAAATCCCTGGATATCACCAGATGAGTAGACTGAAAGGAAATCACAAGATGTTGTTAACCACTGCATTGCAATTGTTGTCTTGGTTCTTTGAATGCTAATGATGTTACGTTTCTCTTCCAGTGAATTGCCAAACTACGACGTGATAGTGTCAACCCTGCTCAAAGAGGGCCTGGATAACTTGCCCAAGTTCTGCAAACTCACCCCGGGTAAAATGCGCCCGTTAGCATCATTCTCATTATCGTCCATTGTTAATGCACTGCTGCATGAAGGTGTCTCCACGCCGACGTCATTGTTCAACATCGCTGTTCTCATGTGCATGATGCTGTGGCAGGAGTGCCCATGAAGCCAATGCTGGCACACCCAACCAAGGGCATTGGAGAAGTGCTCAAGAGGTTTGATGAAGCAGCCTTCACTTGCGAGTACAAGTATGATGGGGAGCGGGCACAGGTACGGCTGTGGGGTTATCCATTTGCGAGTTATTTTCCCGGGTTATCTGATGGCTCAAGTCGCTCTAATGCACCCGTGTCAAAAAACACACTCCTGAGATCTCGCCTGATTACGCAAAGTAAACTTGAGATCCTAGGTTGGGAGTCCAGACAGCCACCAGTGAATTAACCAGATTGGTAGGTGGGCTGAGTTGATAGTCTGAGTGTACCTGCTATAATTTATAAATAGGATCATTGACATAGCAAACTAATATTTAATCAGTGTCAAATTGTCACTGTATAGTACTTGATAAAAAAGCCCCTTTTTCATCATTCTGAGCAACTCTTTGACAAGCGATGCTCTGCTGAGTAGGAATTCTGCAAGGATATATATATTTTCCTTAATGGCAAAATTTTTAATTCCCCAAAAAAACAGTTTTGAAAGATTTTTTCTCAGTCTACATAGTTTAGTAATAACAAATGTCTCCCAGCCAGATCGCATTACATCGCCAGTTTGATTTCTGTTGCTGCTCCGTTATGTTAGCAGAGGGATTTAAAAAAAAGTACATGTGGTTTGCTGTGAAGTGAATCCTTACCTCAACGACCCTTGGACAGTATTAGTATCTAACTGAAGTGTGTGCCGATGTTGGCAGCCTGTAACTTCCCACTGCTGTGCATAGGCTTCCATCATTTTCTTCCATTTCTTCATTGCTCTTGTTCACACATGTCCTCCAAACTCTTTGAGATATTTTTCTCACCATCTCCTCCACTGCCTTCTGGTTATTTTGCCTTCTCCCGCTCCACTGTCTAGTTAATTTTGTTCATCTCTCATCATTTGATCTCAAGACATGTCCTGCCCGTTTATGCTTTATTTACTTTGCTTTAACAGGAGCATCGGCCGGTATGTTATCCCAAATTGAACAGTAAAATTACTGCGCCTATAAGTTTGGAATATAAATTAAAACTCTTTAAGTGGTAAATTAGCTCACGTCAATATTTTTTTATTGGCTTTTCCCTAATCATTTAATGACGTTTTATGTTAGATTCATCTGTTGGAGAATGGGGACCTCCATATCTACAGCCGAAACCAGGAGAACAACACCACCAAGTACCCCGACATCATCAGCCGTTTTAGCAAGGTTGGCCAACGCTATAAACCACACACACCTGCAGGAAGTTACTGGGCAACTGATGGCCGTGTTGGCTTATTGAATTGGCACTGCCGAGATCCTTGATTCAAATCCGTGAATCCGTCTTAAATTTATACTACATCACTGCACAACAATGACATTGTGGTCTTCTGTGCATACATTGTTGTACGTATATGCAGTAAAATGTATATGTAAAATTTGATACGCAAATAATATTTGGATATGTTCCTTGGTGACCCGCCCATACTGGACATCTGTGAAAAAGAGCTTCATAGCTCATCGGATTTCTCCAGTCTAAATAAATATTCTGATTCTGAATGTTTGACATTCTATCCTGGTGAAAGGAATTTCAGAAATTACATTTTTGACTTAATGACAACAGGCAAGGATGACAGCAAAACAGACCTGTTGCCATGCGGATAGAACGTAGTAAAAAAAACATCAGGCACTAGATGATGTGAAATGTTGCCACGTGCACAATGCTCGCTACAGGTCAAGAAGGAGCACGTGCGTTCGTGTGTCATCGACTCGGAGGCCGTAGCCTGGGATCAGGAGAAGAAGCAGATTCAGCCCTTCCAGGTGCTCACCACTCGCAAACGGAAGGTGAGAAATGATGGCCACAGCGCCACAGCGGGTAGCCGTGGTGCAATTCAATACTGACCATGGGCACCTTTGGGTGTGCGACCGAGCAGTTTGCGTGCTCGCTGCCAAACCATTTTTATCCGCTGTTGGCAGTTTGCTCCTTCAAGCCAGTGAGCAAGAAATAAGATGACATTCTTTGTCTCGTGTGAAATTAGTGTGAGGTTAGATTTTCTCTCTCTCTCTGTGTCTCTGTTGTCTCTCTCTGCCCGTGTGTCTCCGTGTCTGTGTCTTGTCTCTCTCTCAAATTTCTGCTTATGTGTCTGTCTATGTGTCTCCGGTTTTGTGTTTTGTCTCTCTCTTAAAAATCTAGCAATCTTTGGAAGAAGGTAATCAACCAGGTAGGGTGTTGACTGTTATGTATTGCATTATATTTCTAAGTTTACTAGGTTTATATTCTTAGTTCTTTCGGTAAAGTCACGTTGAAGGGAAACAATAAAAGGGAAACAATAAAATAATAAAATATATATTTTATTGTTTCCCTTCAATGTGACTTTACCGAAAGAACTAAGAATATGAATTACTGCAGTCACGAAAGCTTTAAATCAAAATTTACTAGGTTTGTTTTCTCTTTCATTTGTACCTGATGCTGATTGCTTGTGTTGCAATCGAAACGTCGTATGCTATTATTATTATTATTATTTTCTCTTTCTACGTGACTTTACCGAAAGAACCAAAGAGTCTTGTGAGGTTGTGGAATTTTATACCTCGGCAAACCATGCAAAACAATTAATGTCCTCAACAATAGAGGTGTTTTTTAATCAATTTAGCTGATGTTCTACAATCTTGTGATTGGTTTTTTTGCGATCGCTTTCCTCCGCAGTCTTTGTCCAAGGTTGTCTAACACGGGTTGGATCATACTGCTAAGTTGTGATTTAAACTACAATATAAAATGTTAATATCGTCAGCAAATGTAACACATGTAAGAGTTCAGAATAATGCAGCTCTCATTTTATGGTGCTTTGTTTCAGGATGTTGATGCCTCAGAAATTAAAGTTCAAGTCTGTGTCTATGCCTTTGATCTGCTCTACTTGAATGGGGAGGTAAGATTAACAAAATAAAAACGTTTCTCTCTGGTGCCTTTACACATTGGCGGGAAGGAACGTGTCTTTTCGGAGTTAATGGAGACACCGAAAGTTGAAGATCTCTGCTGTGCATAATGACCCATCAGCCAACTTGTGAATGTTCCAAGATGTGGGGGCTGATGCACCATCACTGTACAGCCAGGTATAGCCTATGACCAGATCACCTGAATGGGGACCCTGGCTAGTCATATCTCCGAAGACGAGCAGGTCTGAGCCTGGATAGTGTTTGGATGGGTGTGACCACCTTGTTTTAACAAGTGTTGGGCTTGCAGAGCTCAATTGTGGGCAGCAGAGGGTAGTGCAGCAAAAGCCATTATTGCACTAATTTAAATCCACGTCTTTCTCTGCACCATCTCTCACTGACCACCGTCAACTAGCCCTATACGATCCACGTAGCGTTCGGAGGCCTTTCTTCGGCAGTCGATTCACAAAAGGGCTGTACATGCTCTTATGTAATATTACGCTTAATCCGTGAAGCCACACACTATCAACAGTTGCGCTTGCACACATTGAGGCTTCAAAACGCACTGAGCGAATGTGTTCAGCATCTGCTGTGCGCCCTGTCTGCAGTCGCTGGTGAAGGAGCCGTTCCGGCGGCGGCGGGAGCTACTGCGTGCTGCGTTTGAGGAGGTGGAAGGGGAATTCATGTTTGCCACGGCCATGGTCGGCTCGAACACGGAAGAAATTGCAGAGTTCCTGGAGCAATCTGTTCGTGGTGAGCACCCCCCTTGCACCCAGGGCATCAGAATCAGAATATGTATTTACACGGGAGGAATCCTATGAGCTATAAAGCTCTTTTTCACAGATGTCCAGTAGGGACACAGAGCCAGAACGTGACAACAACAAACAAATACATAAGGGGGCCTCGCTTGTCAAAGGTTGCGGTAAACAATTTTGAGAGTTGGATGTTTGTCGAGTTGGTCAAGTGACTCGGCAGGATAATGCCCAGATAGCGTCACTTCGTCAACACCTCCGACACTTTTGGGTTTGAATTTGGGAAGTCAGCCATCTAGGTTAAACCTTTTTTTCAAGTATATTGAGTTGATGGTCTTTATCTATTGGACCTTTTTGACATTATAAAAACGATGAAAAAAATGTGCATGTTTGTTTGCATGTTTGCCGGAAGTATGTGTGGTTAATTTGAATCCAGGATCTCAATATATTTAGTGTTCGAATAGCTTAACAACTGTTTTATTGCCCGAAAGGTTAAAACTTATTCTTCAATTTTTTTCATAGTTTTGATGGTCTTTGCCCATTTATATGTGACTTTGTAACAACAAGAACAACGTTACTTCATGTGTCTGTGAGATGGAGGATGATTCTGCATGAGATAGAAGACAGCTCATAAGAGAGATGTATCCATAAGAGAAATCAATTATTTAGGGTCATTGTCTTTCATGTGTAGATTCTTGTGAAGGCCTCATGGTGAAGACTCTTGATGTGGATGCCACCTATGAGATTGCCAAGAGGTCCCACAACTGGTTGAAGGTGAACATTGTTTCTCAACTTCTTGTATGGGTTGTACATTCTTGTTTTCGAATAGATAGGTTTTACCCTACTCGCCCGGTATTGCACTGCGCTGCATCGTGTGTGGCGTTGTGTCACGACGGGGTGGGGGGGGCACGATCCACTGTCTCAAACAGCTAAAGAAGGACTACCTGGAGGGGGTTGGAGACACCCTGGACCTGCTGGTGGTAGGTGGATACCATGGCCGGGGCAAGCGCACGGGCACGTACGGGGGCTTCCTGCTCGCTTGCTACGACGACGAGAACGAGGAGTACCAGACAATCTGCAAGGTGAGGAGCTCCGCCGGCACTCACCAAAAACATACACGTAAAGCTTTAGGACCAATCCTCACTGAGCCTTAAAACATTTTTTTCATTTAGCATATGAGGGGTTATGGCTTCACCTCTACCATCGCTTGGCTGGCTATCTTTTGTAGCCCCATTGCAATCAGTGGGAATCCATTGGGATTTCCAGTGTCTAATGTAACAGCTTGGAAAACAAGAATCGCTGATAATATACTAGCAATTGAATTGTTTTAACATTAGCATATTCCCCCATTCACATTCCGATGACGTACGTGTATGTCATGAGTTTGTCTTCCGGTTCCGTTCCGATGACGTACACTTAACAGAACGGAACCGGTTTAACACGTAGGCTTTCGCGACCAATATTATTCATAATAAAGGTTTTTGGGTTAGATCGCGTTATTTATAAATGTGTCGTAACCCTCCACCACCCGACATGGCCAATTAGCAAAAAAAAGTGCCACGTTGACAAAAGACAAATAGTTCACTACTTTAGCCCACCGGTGTGTTGAAGAGTGAACCCACAACATTTACAGTTTGAGTACGACGTTTCACTGGTAATTACAGTGGTCCCTCGTTTATCGCGGGGGATACGTTCTAAAAATAACTCGCAATAGACGAAATCCGCGAAGTAATCAGCTTTATTTTTTACAATTATTATACATGTTTTAAGGCCGTAAAACCCCTAACCACACACTTTTATACACTTTTATACAGACAGGCATTAACGTTTTCTCACATTTCTCTCTTATTTAAACACTCTCAAAGTTCAAACTTTCGCAGATTTAAAAAAATAAGTACAATATTAGTAAATTAAGCCAAAGATCAAAACCTGTTTTCAAGCCCAAACATTTTTGTAAATCTGGCTAGCCGAACGCATTCTGTACTCCCTTAGCTAATCAGGACGCAGAACACGTGCGGTTCTCCCTTAGCCAATCAGGACGCCGAACACAATGCGCGTTCATACTGTACGCAGGAAAAAAAAGCATGCAAAATTACACAAAAAAATCCGCGAAAGGTGAACCGCGTTATAGTGAGGGACAACTGTACATCCAGCATCATCTGGCGAATTGCCCGATGATGCTGAATGTAATTACCAGCGAAACGTCGTACTCAAACTGTAAATGTTGTGGATTCACTCTTCAACACACCGGTGGGCTAAAGTAGTGAACTATTTGTCTTTTGTCAACGTGACACTTTTTTTTTGCTGATTGCCCGTGTCGGGTGGTGGAGGGTTACGACACATTTATAGAACGGAACCGCAAGAATAACTTAACTAAAATAACTTTATCGGTACCGAGGATCCCACAAGGCCATACGGGAGGGCGTGTGGCACAGTTTGGCGTCAGCTATCATAGAGTGCAGTCGTGTCGTTACGGTTTTCTGCGGTGAGTACAATGCCATTAAAAACAACGGCGCTACGTCTCCCTAAATAAAATTAATGCTGAGCCGCTCGCGGTGAACAGGAAACGTCTCTGAACGGAAAAGGGTTAACACTAGACTCACTAATTACTAATAACTTTACTAATTACACTGACAGCACGAATCACCAAAAAGACCAGGGAGTGCCACAAAAGAGATCTCTTTGCTGGTGTTTCTGATTGTAAAGCGGCCGCCGCAGGTATGGATGCATAGGAGAGTGTTCTGTCACGTTCATAGTTTGTCTCCAGTACCATTCTTCCGATTGTATTCATGCATGTTTGTTAACATGCTTTTAATTTATCTGCAGATTGGCACGGGATTTAAGGATGAAGACCTGGAGAAGCATGCTGCCTTTTTTAAGGTGAGAGTTCCAAATGATTCCGCAGTATGTTATAATTTTTGTTGGAAATAAAAAAATTGTGTTGTATCAAACCTAGTAGAAGCACTGTGGATGACATCCCCACAACCTCACAATGAATGGAGCGTATTAATTTTGATTTACATTTCATTAGCATTTAGATCATTAATCTGGCCTCGGTATCATGTTGAATCAACAAAAAATACAAGTATCCGGTGTGGTGTGTTCAGCGCTGGGAAACAAAAGCAGCTGGGCTTGTTGTGCTAGTCATTCCGCACCCTTGTATACCATCCCAGCCTTGCTCAGTGCTTGTCAACAGCACTTGCCTCCGATTTACGATGGTTGGCTACGTACGTTGTGAAAGAAGTTCAACATACATACGAGTCTTTATAGCTCAAATATAGGGTTTTGTTGTTGCGTATGTTGGTGATTGCATATATATATACACACCCCCATGCAGAGCCATCCCTAGGCTAAGGCGAATCGGGGCGACTGCTCCGGGCCCCGGACTTTGGGGGGCGCCCCGCACTTCGACGTCACGGTGTCAGATAGAATACCTCTGGTTCAGTTTGAAGGCGTCGGGGTCCCCACACGGTGTGACTTGCCGCGGGCCCCGTGCCCTCCTATGGACAGCGCTGCCCCCATGCAAAACCTACGCTGACCAAATCACCTGGCATAATGCCCAATTTCATAAGATCCCAGAAACCAAACCTAAGTTGAGCTTGGTTTAGAACTTGGAGGGGCAACCAGCCCGCACCACAGGTAGTGAGAGGCCGCTGATGTGTTTACGTGTTGGGCAGCAGAGGGCAGTGTAGCAAAATCAATTCGCCAACCAACTGAGCAGTGTGGTGAAATTTTGTCAAGTAACCCGCACGACCCACAATGCAAGGGGTGGGGGGGGGGTGGGACTTTATCCAGCAGCGGATTGACAAAAAGGATGCACGCGTTCAAGCATTTGATGTTAAGACTGTTGCGGTGAAACATCTTGGCTTAAAGCTTTCGTGACTGCAGGAATTCATATGCTTTGGGTCTTCCGGTAAAGTCGCTTAGATGGAGCAATAAAATAATGAAAATAAAATAAACAGAAAACTACGACGTTTCGATCACAACACAAAAGCCGATCATCATCAGGAGGAAGAAAGAGCGGGAAAGCTGCTGGGGCAGACTGTTTTAATGGTTTAAACTGAATACTGTTAACGGTGCTGTTAAGTATCGTGCACTGCACGTGTAATTCGTTTTGGAACCCACAAGACAAAGATCCCCCGTATAGTCTGAACAGACTGTTGGGGAAAGTCCTGTTAGCGAGCGCCTCTGAAGGCCACCACAGCACAAGAGAAGGTTTGTCTCTCATTGTGGTGTTTACACACTGCACCAGCTATTCATTTTATACTGGTTCGACCTTGGGGGGAGGCCCAGGACTGGTTTGTGTAATTGTCGCTGGCGCTGGCCGTGAGCGGGAACCCACTGCCAAACAAGCGACGTGCAAGTCTCTCGCATTTAAGGTTCCAAGTCTCCACTGCCCACCCCCGCCTTCCGCGCCAGCACGGTGAAGTTTGGTCGAATAGACCCCCCCCCCCCCCCCGATATCCACAGTGCGTGGGGGGGAGGCCCTTGTGCAGCGAGTTGATTAACAAAGGGGGATGTCTGTATTTTTTTTTTCGTGTGTGGACCTGCAGGAGCATGTGATTGAGCGTCCGCGGTCGTACTACCGCTTCGAGAGTGGCGCAGAGCCCGACCACTGGTTCGACGCTGTGCAGGTGTGGGAAGTCAAGTGCGCCGACCTGTCGGTGTCTCCGGTCTACAAGGCAGCCAATGGCCTGGTACAAATGTGCACACACGCACCCAAAACAAAAGATCCCCCATACAGCCTTGTTGGGGCACGTGCTGTTAGCGAACACCTATGAAGGCCGGAACGGCACACGAGGGGGTGGGTGGCCAACACCACGCCCGGCCGCCTTTGTCTCCCCAGTGGAGATGTTTACACACTGCACTCGGTACGTACTTATTTGAGACTGAATCGACCTAGGGGAGGCCCCGGATCGGTACAGATAATCGTCACTTGTGTTGGCCGTGAGCGGGAATCTGGTTCGGGGTGCTGGGTTTGTAGCGCAGCGCGCTAACCGCTACACAATGCACACCCAATATTATCGCACACCGGTTGCGAGGTGTTAACTCCCTCGCCTAGTATACAGAAATACGTGGGTTCGATCCCGACCCTGACGCCTGTATTTGAAGTTTGCCTGTTCTCCCCGAGGTGACGTGGAATTTTCCTTCCACATTTAGAAACATGCGTTTGTAGAGTATCTTGCTGCTATACATTTCCACGTGATAAGCCGCTTCGTTGAGCTATCATTTGTGGCCAGGTCGCATCTGAAAAAGAGCTATATAGGTCAGTGGGCCTAACTTGGTCAAGAAAATTGTTTAGTTTCAGCTTATACATGTGTTCGTAAACATATATCCATATACGCTGTGTATGCATGTATACATAATGCAGACACATTAATTAACACCCTCAAAAACACACGTAATCACGCATTCATAGATATGCGTGACAAAACACCTGGTTTTCTGTACCACCCTTCCACCTCTGAAGCTCTTCCTCCACCGTGCTGCCCCTTCCTGTCACCCTGCCCCTTCGGCCAGTGGGTTGCTCAGAAACAATGGTTGTAATGTGTACAACATATATGTTTTACATTAACTTAATTATAAAAAAGTCATAATTTTGTTGCAATAGTAATCTGATTACACACCGACAAAGGTGTCATGATATATTGGATCACCCTTACTTGCCGCATTGGATTGCCATTGCCTATTACTTATAATGGGTTATTACATTCGTGATTTACCTATTATGTGTGTTCATGCCTTGACTCCTCATCACTGACGAGAGCAAATACTGCCATTCACTCGGGAGCCCGACACCGATTGACGGGCTCGATGGGACTACCCAGTGGGCTAGGCTGTGAATGGGTCCCTCCCGCGCCCCCTGCGCTGCGCGCAGGTGGACAAGCAGAAGGGCGTGTCCCTGCGCTTTCCTCGCTTTCTTCGCGTGCGCGACGACAAGAAGCCAGAGGATGCCACCAGCAGCTCGCAGGTGGGGTCAGAGTGCGCACGTCGCTGCGCTGGGACGCGATGTAGCGCGGTGGTGGGCCCCGTGGGTACACGTGTGTCACGTGTGTCACGTGTGTCACGTGTGTCACGGTCGCCACGTGCAGCCCATGTGAGGATGGGGGGAGGATGGTGTATGCAGTTTAGAATCTTTATGATGAGCAAGTATGTATTATTGAGCGTTTTGGGGGTTTTTTTTTTTCCCCCCCTCCAGAGTAGGACCCGGCCCATAATGACTGGTCGCCATTGATGCAGCGACAGCAGTTTGGTTTTTCTAAGAAGCCTTTGGTGTACGCCCCTCGCAGAGAAACGTGTGCCCAAATAACTTTCTGTTTATGATGTTATCCAAGATGATTTGATTGATGGCATGCTGTAATTCTTCACACAAGATATGTTTTGACAACAATACATTACATTTTCCAGCAGTAAAAGCCCTTTTTTATGTCTTTGGTGCATAAGTTTTGTTATTCAAAGTGTGCCCTTGCTCAAATGGAAATTGGGCCGTGGTCATTTCGAGTTTGCAATTCTGAGCCAGTGGTAAAAAAAAAAAAATTCCGTTGGTCCATCCATCGTTGAGCAAAACTCGTGTGTTCATTTCCCCAATGCAGGAACATTCTGATGGAAATTCAAGTGCTGCTATTTCACCACCCGGCCAGATGTATTGTGTTCCCGATGATAAAATATTCACTTTGTGTGCGCGCATGTTTCCAATATCAGCAGACATTTTGACGTGTAATTTGTCATGGCTTGCTCTTATGTTTGAAGTTTACTACTTTGCTGAACAGCCGTGCATGTCGTGTGTGTGTGTGCGCGCCGCGTGTGTGTGTGTGTGCCGCGTGTGTGTGCCACTTGTGTGTGTCTGCAGGTGGCAGAGCTTTATAACAAGCAGCAGCAGATACAGAATCAGAAATCATCGGTGGCCGAGGATGCGGGCGAAGAAGAGTTTTACTAGGAGATGGACATTGCATACCCGAGCCTCTTCCGTGTCACGGGGGAGGGGGGGGTAGGACGGGGATCCAGAGTGCTTGGGTCGTCAGTCTCATTGCTGAAACCAGCCCACTGACGACTCGACCTCGAATAATTCACGAACACCATTTTTTGTTCCTGGGTAGTAAGTGTCATTTTCTAATTGCTTATGCCTCAAAAGTATGGAAAACGGCTATTATTATTCCCCGCAAACTTTTGATGTGACCAGGACTTTACGTGAAGGAATGACACAAATTCACACGACGTTTTCTATATAGGTCAGTGGGCCGAACTTGGTCAAAAAAGTTGTTTAGTTTCATCTTATACATGTGTTCGGAAACATTGAAAATAGGTACATTTCAAAATATCACTGTCCTGGTCACAAAAGCAAAGTTTGTGGGGAATAATAGCCCATTTTCTGTACTTTTGAGGCATAAGCAATTAGGAAATAACACTTACTACCCAGGAACAAAACATATATATACAAAATATCTATTTTTTTTGTTACACTGTTATAATTCAGCTTCCATGGGGGCACATTTGCCTCAAAATATGCGGTGGTTTCACGAGACCAGGTTTTATTCCACGTCCATGAGTATTCTTTCGGGGGAATTTGTACAAGTAGTGCGTTATAACTTGTCAATATCTCCGTGGTTCACGGTGAAACAAACTTGGCAACGGCTCGCTGTGTATTTTACGTGCCCGAGAAAATAAGTGTTCTTCTCACAAGTTTCTGGAGAGCAGCAATTGTACAGAAGACAATCCTGATCTGTCCACTTGTAGGATTTGTTTGCAAAGGCCGTGCTGGACAGGATAGGGTATGAAAGTTATTATAAAAACATTTGCCAAGCTGTTTCTTTCTGGTGTTGTAATTAACTATCTTTAATAGTTCTACTTTGATAAGTGGCTGAAAAGTCCCCTCCTATTACGTTAAAACTACTTGTTGGAAAAAACAGTTTTTTGATGGTAAGTTCTTATTGTAATCAGACTTTTAAAGACGTATTCGGCTGGTCACGACTTCAATAGATTGGTGAATACAAACAGCCCTCCAGTTTTGGGCTCGGCACATCCATCATTGGTCCTCCCATCTCAAGCCCCTCGCCACTTTTAAAATGCATTAGTGATCCCCACCCAAAGCTGTTACATAATGCTCTGATGGACGCCGAGGCAAACCATCTTAAGTAATAAATAAACAAATGCCAGCCGAGTTTAAATAATGTGCTAGATTCACATTGGTGAGCTATCATTGGTTTAGGGGGAAAGCTGATGTAGTGAGCACACAATCTTTATTTGTGCGGGAGGTGGAACATTCAAATTAGATTGGTCAAGAGAGTAATTTGGAAATGTCCGGGAAAGCCATGTACAATTGGCGAGGGGGGGGGTCTTGGAGGAGCGTTGGAGAGGCAAGGGAAGTTTGAGAAGGATGAGGGGGATAAAATAAGTCGTTAAAGGGATTCGCGAGGATCCTTGAACGGATTAATTCTGTTAAGTGTTGCATGTTGTGGTGTTTTATGTGCCTAAGAAAATAAAGAACAAGTTTTAAGACTTGCCCGGCTGGAACTCCTTTACACGATCACACAGCTCTACATGCTAAGCAAACTAGCCCAGGGGTGGGCAAATTTTTTGACTCACGGGCCACAATGGGTTCTAAAATTTGACAGAGGGGCCGGGCCATGAATAGATGGTAGGAGTGTTTGTGTGAACTAATATAAATGACATGTAAAAATCATTACATGAAAGGATTTGGCCTTTAACAGGTAGCAAAGCATTTATTTGCAAGGCAAAGTGCGCCATCTAATGGGGAAATAAGGGCATTACAGGAGAAAGGTAAAATTTAATTGAATATTTGGACAAGTTCGACGGACCGGATTAAAAAGCCCAACGGGACTTATACGGCCCGGGGGCCGTACTTGCCCATGTCTAAACTAGCCTCACTCAAGATATCCTCAACTGGGAAAGATAAACTACCTGCTTTGGCTTTGATCACTGACAAATCCATACACTTGTCCATATATATAACTTGATCAAGGAAGCCTCAGTACTCTAATAACGGTAAACTGCTTTCATTCATCCTAATCTAAAAGGTGGATTTACAGATTACCTTAGTTTTTACTGGCCAATTTCAATCCCATCACCACAAACCCAAAATATGAGAAAGTTCTCAAGACCCAAATTAACAATTGCACCTCTAAAAATTGGCTTCACTCTAAATAATTGGACCTTTGCAAATACTGAGACTTCCACGGTGCTCAACTTCCTTAATGTAATATTTTATACTGGACAGTAAACAATGATGTGCCAATAGAAGTCCAAAACGATATGGTGGACCGTGTCACCCAAGCAAAAGATTCGCAAGCCTCACTTTCTCGAGGCATACAATACCTGGTTCAATAGCTACCATTCTGAATGAAATTAGGTTGTTTCGGTTGAAAACCTTGTATATATAAAAAAAATGTAATCACATTGGTAGTTCCACAAGTTTCCATACTTAAACCAATCTTATTCTCCCTTCTGTGTAATTGATCTGAGAAACCAACTTCTATACCATTGATTTTTGCTGATGATACTGCAATAATGGTAACTGGAAATTCGCCAAGTGATTTTGACCTCACTGAGCATCTTAATTAATTCCATTAAATTGGTTCTGAATGTAAATAAAACCACAAAGTAATGCTTCTCTTTGTTTTGAACTTCTTTCACACTGTACAAAGCCAACAATGCTAAGTGAAGTAAAGGGAAGAACAAGCTAAAAACAAAGTTATCAAGAAATTAGTTTTCAATTTCGAAAATTCTACTTTGCAATGAGAGATCCTGACACATTTCCAACCCAGGTTGTCTGGATAATCAACAAATATAGCAAGTGCAGGAGCAAAAATATTTGTGCTCGTCAACTCGACACTCAAGTTTTATCTCCCACTGATTACATTGCAAAAAATAATAAAATTGGTTCCCTATACATATAAAATCTGCATACCACAACTTTACTATGTTTAGATATGGTAAGAGCAACCGTACTTCCAAATGTTGACTGTTATAAGTTCCCCTCTTGAGGTTGTTAAATAAGCTAAACTCACTCTAGCATTCGGCTCTTCGCTTCCTACCGAACACTCCCTCCAGTACCCACCATTGCAACATTGATTGGTTCAAACTTGAAATTCCTCTGCCCGTAGATACATCCATTAGGCGTGTATATTCACACTACCCAAGGAACAATGGGCATTATAGGAAAAACCTGGGATGGGATGATCTGGAACATCACCTGGCATACGGTCTCATACCCGGCCCCTTCAAACTTCCGTCTGTTAACACCTCGGAGAGAAATTCCACGTGGAAGGCGGTTCCACATTGATGAGGCTGTGAAAGCATTGATAGTAGAGTCGTGGCTTATGGAAGCCTGCGGGCTGATGGGGCACGTGGATTTTAGTAAATGGCGACTTGAGAGAAATGCTTTGCCATGTTGATACATGTTCTATGTAAGCAACTTATTTAAACGCAGTCATATTTTTGCAGGCAAGTATTGCTCTTATATTGCATTTCAGGTATTTTTCACTATCCCCATAGCTGTGACCATTGTTTCCTCTTAATTGTATGTTGAATTTTTTTGCACCGTACTTAGCCAATCTTGCTAATCGGAGGTGCGGGGGGGAGGGACAATTGGCAGAATGGCAGCTTCTGCGATCACATTACACCCCAAATCTTCGTTGATATTATACCAGAAAGTGTATATTTACCCAAATACATGTGTGCACATCAATTTACGTGAGAATGTGAACTCCATCAGAACAAGCAATGCGACTAATCTCATGCAAACAACCACCCCCAATGAAGACACCTCCAATGAAATATCTTTCGTTCTTTATTCAAAAAAAAATTAAAGAAACATCTCGGTACACTAACATTTCTTAAAGACTACACTTTGTACAAAAAGAATTATTTCAAGTATAGACAGTAACAAAATATAAGGTATAAAACACAACACAGGTGGTCAAATGAAAACAAAATTGAAAAGATTGCAGCAGCTCTACTCAGTAGCCTACACTACCACACAGTATACACAGCAGATGAGTTCGGGAGGGGAGAGGGGCAGGGATGGAGGAGCAATGGAGCCAATCTGCATGGGACAGCTAAAGCCAAAGGACCCATTTTAACCGTCAGCATCCCGTATAAAGGGAAATGTTGATGGCTTACCCCTAACTCTAATCTACGTTTGGAAGAAAAAACGAAAACTTCCATGTTGTACGTCATCTTCAAATCATTAAGCGTTACCACAGGTCAATGGATCGGAACACTTTACAAAATGATCCGAATGCATCTTTCAACCAAAATATTTTAATCCTACTGCCCAACTTACAATCGGCGCCGCTCGCAAATACGGACGATGGGGGGGGGGGAGAGACACCACCTTCCAACCTAAGCGGATGCCTTGGGGGGAAAAAACATTTAGGATAATACTGTCTGCCAGCATTTCATTCAGTGGCGGACAAGCGGCTGGGCAAAATGTACAAATAGAAAAAATTCAGCAGCAGTAGCTATAAAAGGATCTCTCCCTTAGCAGCCCCGTGAGGACTGCCCAGTCAGGGCCACATTTTCAAATGGAAGTGAACAAAAACTCTCGGTGCTCTGCAGGTCAATGAGATAGCTGCATTAATGGTACACGCTGCACATGATGTTGCATGTAGGTTGTTTTTTTTTTTAATGGGCAATGTACATGGTTAGATAAGCAACTTCTCCACGATTGAAAACTCAATACCTTAATTTAGCAAGCAAGTAACCTTTATTTTTAGTTAAAATTAAGCATTCGTAAAACTGAGCGAATTGAGCAGTTGTATTACAGTATAACAGGTTAAGGGCATTTAAAAAACATTCAAAGTTGCTATTGGGGACAATCAGGGGGTTTGGATATCTGGATTTATGCCATTTAAAAGTAAAAAAGCAAGAATCTAATTAGCGAGTAATTCCTGAGTAATTACTGCATTATTCAACGGTGCGGTTCATGTCAACAAAAATACGAGAATTCATATTAAGAAAACATGAACCAAAACGTGAATTGTTTGTGTTGACCTACCTACCACCCAATTGGTTATATCCATCACCACATTTGCTAGAATGACTATTACTTAACACAGCCCACCACAAACATAACTCAGCTGTTGTCAGTCAAGAAACTCTAAACCATCAAAAAGCAACCTCCCGTGAGAAATTCAAAGACTCAACATTATAGTTACAAAGTGGCTTAGCAACTATTCTTATCAATGTTATATCAAACTATTGATGCAGGCATACGAGATGCAGAAATAATACATTTAGAGGACTGCACACAGTTGAACACGGTGCATCACCGGGTATATTTCTTTGACATTTAAAATGGTCAAAACGTTGTCAACACAAGCAGGCTAAAACAAGTGGCATTTCCATACACCGCCGTTGAAAGCGACACGCAACATCCACGCATGTGTGTCGGTTAACTCCAAAGCACTTAGCGGCAAGAGGTACTGAGGTGGCTTAAGACATCCCTATCAGGATACAGAGCCCATTATGTTCTTGTGACCTCGGCCCAAGCATCGATGATTTCACAAACAAACAAAAATCACACATTGCTAATTCGTAACTGTAAGAGGCCGATTCGGAGTTCAATGGAAGCACCAGTAAATTAATATTTGCTTGTACATAAAATAAAACATTTAAGCTAGATGAGAATTCACTTCACTAGCTTGTCTAAATTGAGCTGGCCAAGTTTAAATGTGACTTTTGTTAGTTCTTTGTGGAATTAACAGGTGAGCCAAGATATAACAGGAGGCCACAGTACCTCTGTAGTCGGACAGGGATCCCCCTGAGACAATGCAAGTGCCACTCTACACGTACTTTGGAGTTTACCAGTGCACATATTGCATGTTGCGATCAACTGCAGGATAAGAAAATGCCAATTGTTTGCCCTGCTTGTGTAGGCCATGTTTCATCCATTTGAAACGCCTAACAATTATACATGTACCGTGTTCAACACCGCCCGGGCCCGTCATGTTTCTGCATCTTGTACCCTTGCATCAAGCCTGTCAATATGCATGAATGAAGTTTAACACGTAGGCTTTTGCAACCAATAGTATTCATAATAAAGGTTTTTGTGGGTTAGATCGCGTGATTTATTAATGTGTCGCAACCCTCCACCACCCGACATGGCCAATCGGTAAAAAAACGTGTAACGTTGACAAAAGACAAAAAAATTTAGTACGACGTTTTTGCTGGATGTTGTGGATTCTCACACCGGTGGCATAAAGTAGTGAACTATTTGTCTTTTGTCAACGTTATACATTTTTTTACTGATTGGCCGTGTCGGGTGGTGGAGGGTTGCGACACATTTATAAATAACGCGATCTATCCCACAAACCTTTATTATGGATGCATAAATGAAAATAGCATAACACTTTGAAATTGTAAATCCACATTCAATTTTTTTTTAGATTGCTTGTAATTTTGTTATTTCTCTGCAGACAAAATGAAAAAGCATTTTTAAACACGTCCGTTGCTTAGCCACAAAAAAAACACAACCGTTTTTTTATGCATGCAGTATGTGCAGTGAAATGCATCAATGTTGGTCAATACCGTTTTTTTTTTAAAATATCATAGCCAAGGTAAATGACAAACTGTGCTAAACTTAAAGACAATTATTTTAAAAAGAGTCACTACACTGCACATACAACAGGTTGTAGATGTGGGACTTCTAGAAGGGGTTAAATTCACATGTAGGTTGCCATAATGTGCTAGAGTTGTGTTTGCGGTTAATGTTTCCAGGGAACATCAATTAAGGTTATGACTTATTGCCACATTAAATTATCTTAAAATGTATCCCAATTACAGCTTGCTGTTACAACTAGCAGCAACTGGAAATTACTTGGCATAACTATTCCCTTAAAAGAGTCCAGCATGATAATTCTACCGGCTGACGACTCTTTGAAATTTGGTTTTTGTTTTCATTATAGAATAGATATCTGATGTGGAAAGTTGGCCCTTGATGAACTGGTGTGAGATTATTAGGAAAACCTTGGAAAAATATGCCCCCTAAATCTGTGTGCTTGTGAGTCTTCCAGCTAGAGAACAAGCCTCAGTACCTCTTACGCAAACCAAAACATTTAAGTGAACTTAGTCATGCGAGATACCTCGACTCAAATCACTGCCACTTTCTACCCTCAAATACCCTCTACCTGCTGTTTTGGTTTCTGCTTCACAAACAGGACCAGTTTCTCACATTGACCGTTGACTGAACCAACCCCCTTTCTTGAAGGGTTCGGTTTGTTGTAGTCTAAGCCTCGCTGGCTGGCTCAAAGGTACTGCCGTGTAACGGAGATGGAGAGGTGGGGTGAGATTAGGTGGAAGGGGAGATGGGATGTGGGCGGAGGTTTAGTTGTGCTTGAAAGTCGCTCAGGCTGGGGAAAACTTCTTGGCCTGGTCACGCACCCTCTTCTCATACTCAACCTTATTTTGGCTACAGACAGAAATGCACACAAAACACCGGTACACACACACACGCACACGCATTACCCCTTAAAAACGTAACAGAAGTATGGTAGGTCTTCAATTAAAGTATGCAGTAAATCAAGTGTGTATTTCATGACAGTAATTTCAGTGTCACTTTACCACAGACGTGTCGCGGTCGTCGTAAACAAAACGGACGGAGGGGGCATTGTTCAAGCACGGGGGTTACGATCAAGTCCCTGGCGAAAGGTGTCGACCGGCAAGACTCTTGGCATGCTGTGCCATGCATGGAGCCACCTGTGTGATTTGGCCACGGGCGTGGTCACACGCACTTACCAGTAAATGGTGTAGGCTTCTGCTTGCGCTGGGTCCTGCACGTTGGGCTCATTGAGCAGCTCCTGGATTCCCAGCAAGATCTGCAACGAATGCTTCCTGGTGAGAGTGGCGGAGTTCCCGTGGCCAGCAGCGCCCTCCGCTTCCTTTATAGCGTGCATTTTTATAGCTTCATTTGGATATCCCACCTTGTAAAATCTAAAGTATTGGTCCGACTCACGCGCAACAATGAATCTTTGCAAAACTTATAAAATGTGTGTCAACGGCGTGACTAATGAGCCTAAAGATGTGACATCTTCAAGCTATTCTGACAACGTGGTAACAACTGCTGGCCAGACCGTTATTCATAATACAGGTATTTTGGGGTTAGATGGCGTAAATATATAAATGTGTCGTGAAACCCGCCACCACCCGACACGGCCAATGAGTAAGGTCTGTCACGTAAACAGAACGTGACAATGTTTCGCCAGTAATTACAACAACCGGCTTCATCAGGCAACAGCCAGATTTGTGGAGAAATCCTCCTGCTTCGTTCCTTAGATAGAGGGAGAGATGTGATGACGTCACTTGTGTGCCCTTCTTGCGCGCAGTGGGGGGGGGGGGATTCATGAACGCACATGAATGACGATGGGTATCCATTGCTGTTTGGGCTATTTATATGATAATTAACGTACATTATGCTGTTGTGGGTTTGCTCTCTAACACACAACCGGTGTGCTGTACGAGTAACGAATTGGCATGTTCTGTTTACGTGACAAACCTTACTGATTGGCTGTGTCGGGCGGTGGCGGGTTTAACGACGCATTTAACCCAACTAACCCAAAAAACCTGTATCATGGATATTGGTCGTGAAAGCCTACGTGTTCAACTGGAGCGTTATTATTTACACACAAACATCACAGTGTGCGAGTGCTCTTGCTCATACCTGTCTGATGGTGATTGCCGGCCTCCAGTCTTTCTCCTCCTCCAAGATGGAGAGGCACACGGTTCCCGAGGGATACACGTTGGGGTGGAAAAGCGGAGGCTCGAACTTACCTGGAATTGAACCAGACAAACAGGTATGTGCGTATGTTGAACTTCTTTCGCACCGTACGTAGTCGATCGTTATAATCGTAAGTGCGGGGGAAGGACAAACAAACTGAACACAACAAGCAATTCTAAAGAAATGAGTTTTCAATCTAGATTTAGAAGTGTACAGCTCCAGTGGTTTCCTACTATCGGAAGGAAGAGCGTTCCAGACGGCCACTGAAGTGCATCTGAAAGCACGCGATGTGGTGACCATCTTTGCTTGATGGCTAGCCAAAGGCCGCTGCTGCGAGGATGACCGGAGTTCGCATGATGGTTTATTGCTCCTTGAGGAGATAAGCAAGCTATTGTGGTTCATCTGTGGCAAGCACTTTGCGTGCAATGAGTGCGACCTTATTATGTATTCTGTTCAGAAACCGGAAGCCACTGGACGGACGTGGTCAGATCTGGCAGTACCCATCACGACATGTGCCAAAGAATTTTGCAAACGTTGCACGAAGGGTCAGCCTGGCCTCTAACTTTTCAGGCCAATATGGAGATTCAAATGATCATTGGGGTTGTGTGATAATGTTACAAAGGACTAGCAGGTGGAAACCGTAGTGGTTATTGTGTTACGATAGTAGTTGGTGATTAACTGGTAGGACATGTTTCTGTAAAAGTGCATGACGGGTGGGAGTACATGTTCTTAAGAGGGTGGCCCCAAAAGTTAGTTTACTGAGAAAACCGTTACATACGTTCATCTCTGAAATTACATTTTTGGCCACCCTGTATATGAATAAATTAAAATGGGAAGAAAGTGCATGGTGACGTAAGCACGCGAATGTGGAGGAGTGTGCTCACGCATGAATAGGGATAATGAGAAAATGAGGAGTTGAGAGGCAGGAGGGGGAGCAAGGCATGCAAGTGTGAGAGGAGATGGCCGTGCGTGATGAACAGCATTCTAAAAGAAAATTGATTAAAACATTGAAAAACTCAAGAGTGAATCAAAAACACATTCAAATCATAATAATACATTTCCGAACAAAGAATCGATCAATGTGTACAAGTGTTACATTTGCAATAACAAAAATATATGCATTTTTTAATATAACATTGTAAATCATAAATATGGGTGTGACCAGTACAATCGTCAGTTATCCATCTATCTGACTACACGAAGGTTTACCAGTGCCACGGATGCCTATATTTCAGCCAAATCCAGATTGGTTAAGCTTCACCTATTCTTAGCAATGCAATGCCTGATTCAGCTATCCAGAATGGCTATTCAGGGCAATTCCAGGTGTACATGAAATAACTACAAATGCTCGGGCCAGAGGATGGTTCTGCAGGATTGAAAGGATGCCTTAGACATCATCCGATTAGCACGGTTGGCTACGTATGGTGCGCGAGGCAAGGGTGAGTTAGGCACGCACAGAAGCTTGTGGGAGTCTCATTGTAGGGTTCAGGCAGGGGCACTTTTGGAAAATTTGGTAAATGTGACAACTCTATTTAATCTCAAGTTGAACATCAGAATTCTAGCCCAAGAAGTCATCCATGGTATCGGCACAGATATTTGATACTTGAGCCTTTTCAGCCACATTGAGTATCAACATCTCAGCCTAAATATATTTCAATAAAAAAATCAAAATTTCATCTTTAAATTCTCTGTTGCATATATTTTGAATATTCGCACTGTACGTAGCCAGCTGTGCTAATCGGAGATGCGGCGAGGAAAACAAAAGACACAAAAAGCAGCTCTTAAAGAAATGAGTTCTCAATCTAGATTTATATTAAATTCCTGCAACATACAAACGTTGTTGTTTAAAGAACATGATTTGAAACTGGGTGCTGCAGTGATCTAAAAAAAAAAACTTACATTTCGGGGGAGTGGAGGGGTAGTCATCCTTAAATAGCATCCGCAGCTTGTACTGGCCTCCCTCCCACGGAGTCTGCACGGCACACGGGCAACAATCATTCGCACGGTTACCTGTGGCTCAAAAGCAAAGCATTGAACCACTTTAAAGCAACGCGTGAATGGCAGCTGGCAGAACTGCAGCAAGTGCAGACGAAATTGTAGTTATCTCAGCAATAGTATAACCTGGATACAAAATAGCCTGGGTACTCTTCAGGTCAGAACATTTTTTTATTTTTTTTACATGAGGTCTCTCCAGTTCTGGCCGAGTGTTTTAAAACAGAAAGTCGCCCGTTACCAAGATACGTCTGCAGGGAATTGTATATATTTTAAGTACAAAAAATAACCAATGGTGATGTGTCTCTTACCCCTTTCTTGCCTGGAATGGCACATTCCCAATTCATGAGGTTCAGAGTCCCATCAGGGTTCTTCATTGGCACAGCGACAAAACCCTGCAACAAGCCACAATGAAAATTATTCAATCATTCTTCTTTGTTCGTGCTTAACTGACATGGGATAGCCCACATCCACATGTGATGTTGACATTCTTGTAGCACAGATAAATATTAACTTTGTTTTTTTATAAATAAAGTTGGAGACTTACAAAGGGGTGATTCTTCCTCCATGCTTTCCTCTCTTGAGCAAGCCGACTCAAAGCAATGCCTGACATGGTCGGGTGTAAAAGCAACTGCAAAGAAATAACAAAATACAAATTCCAAGGAGAGTCAGGCATGGAGATACACTGCCACAGCGATGTTGACCCACCCCTTCTGGACATCTATGAAAAAGAGCTTCATAGGTCATCAGAGTCTTCCAGGATAAACAAAGATTCTGATTCTGTTGGTTTACACTATTCCATTGTTGAGGGCTCAGAAGTCCCCAACTCATTCCTTCCACATTCCCTTAAAGTAATTCTATTACATACATAAATGACATAGCATGCTCAGCAAGTGTACAACTATCTACTCACGTCGCCCATAGTCTTCCTGATAACTTCAACTCCTTTAGACTTAACAAACCCTCGAAAGGCGGTGCGCTATGCTCTTCTATGTATGCATCGACATTGAATGATCTCACCTATAGGACGTTTTTGGCAGTATTGGTGTTCTCCCGTTTAACACTGGTGAGATAAGGCCATACAGAAGGCGGTCTCTGGTGGAGACCAATCAGTTTCAGAGACAATGCATATATCAGAGCATGTGATGCCTTGCTAAAGGTATCTACAGATAGTCCCCGAGTTACGATGGTCCGACTTACGATATTTCGATCTTACGATAGCAATACGACAAAATTGTATGTATGATACGTAGCTTTAGCGATTTCATTTTAGGGTTACCACGATACAATACGTTCAATGTATATTAAAAGTTTTGATAGCAGATCGTTTTTTCAGGAAACAATCCTGTCTATTAAATTGCAGTTCATATCAGTAGGCTAAGAATTTACCTTGTTTTTTATTACTTTACATCTTACGGTGCAATACAGTATTGTAATTAATAAATACATACAGTATATAGTTTATGAAGTACGGTACTGTAAATTGTTCTGTTTTGCTCAATTATCACCATTCTTTAAGACTCCTGGGTAGGCTAGGCCATCTTCGACTTACGATATTTTTGACTTACGATGGGGTCGTCGTAACACATCTCCATCGTAAGTAGAGGACTACCTGTATTTGGAGTTAGAAAATCTTAATCCCTGTTGTATTGCAAAAAAAAGTAAAACCTATCATTTTTCATAGTATTGAATGGTCTTCCTCCATTCGACCATGGATCAGGATCAGGATCACGTTGAAGCACTCTCACTGAAGATAACCACACCCCCCTCAACCAACATATAATTGTGCTTGTTACCGGCCACAAAAAATATATCTGTGATTTCGAGTCCCTGTTATTTCTGCCGAATGCCATCTCTGCCCGACCTGAAGGGGAGCTTGTTTATCACTGGTGACTTATACCGGAGCTGAGTCAATCCTCCCACCTGAAGCTCTTGCCTTTAAAGATGAATTCAACCCATCTCAGCTCATCTGTTCACCGACATTCTAATATAATCAGGGGTGGAGCCACAGGGGGGGCTGGTGGGGGGCTCAGCCTCCATGAAATTTTAGGAAAGTCGGTAATTGGGATAACCGGATATCCGGCTGCTACAAAATGCAGGCTGCCACCTTGTGCTGCCCTGCAGGCTGCTTGAGCGGCAGCCTTTCGAACTTATCGAACTTATTAGCCACACCAGTGGCTCCGACCTATTAATAAACTCCGCGTTCAAATCCAATAAAGTTTGTTTTATACATTTGTGGCGCCCATTGGAAAACATACACTGGATATCTCAGAATATTTAAGTGAGCTCCCTCAAAGTCAAAATCCTGGCTCCGCCCCTGAATATAATAGACCGTGATCACTCATCAATCCTTGACGTACTCATGTCAAGAAAATCTTGTAAAAGTGGGTATCCTGGGAAATGATCTTAGCGACCACTCTAACTGGCATTTGATATCATTAATCACCGTTGCTCAGCAGTTTCCGCTCCTCACTCAAAACACACTTATTTTCCCGAGCTCACTGCACGATCTCTGAATCTCCCCCTCATAACCACCACCATGTACTGTTCCCTCTTCATATTATCATTACATGGCTATTACTCATTCTCCATTCATTCAATCCATTCATCGTTTACTGTCATCAATTTTGCTTTCATAGAATACACGGATCACAGATTTGCCCCTATTGCATCCTCTCATCTATTTCATTAGCCTCATCTCCACCATTACATCCATATGATGTACCGTTAATTATTTGTACAACGCCTTTGTTAAGGTGCCAAATAATTACGTTAAGATAAGAAAATATACGAAACTGCTTAAAGTCCCACATAATATATTTCAGCGCTCTTTAGCCTTTGACCATCGGGCCTGAATCCACGTCCCCAATTCTAACCCACAGTTTCGTCTGTAAGATTCCTTATGATGGTTGACAAACTTGCCCATTGAAAAAAGTTTTAGTCAGGGGAAATCAGTCCCGCTGGTTCAACCCAGAAATTGCCCAGCTCATCCAAGCCCCAGTCTTGAATCTCGTCGTCATTACACCATCCTAGTCCTCCACTTGTCTGTCTGTATCATTTTTAACACTAAATCATGCTGTCATGTTGAAAAGGCTACAATACCAAACATATTTCACATTGCCCAATCAACTGGATTTTCAGCTACAGTGAGTTATTTACTTGTTTTTAGCTCTGGGTGAAACGCTCTTTGTAAGTGAAAATTATTTAATTAGTAGTCCCTCAGTTAACAGGGACATCGGGTTAATGGTTTTTCGGTTAACGTTTTACCTCCCATAGGACCCCATGGTTTGGACTAACGTTAATGTGCTTGGTGCAATCCAGTTTTTTTTCCTGTACGTCAACATTCTAGACATCTCCAACCTGCACTCGGACATGTTTTTAATGTCTTCATGCAAATCATCCTCTTAAACAAATTTGCTAACGACCTAAAAGGACCACTTAATTCCTCTAACTCCCTCCCGTAGCCTCAAGAGGGACCTCTTTATTCCTACTACAATGATATTTGTATAAACAATGTCTGGTGTAAAAATTAAAGTATTTTTCGCATTGCTGCTTCACACGTATTATGGAGATAAGAACAAAAAAATAGTCATACAGGTCGATTGAAGAAATCGTTGGGGTTTCATTTTTAAAATAAATTATCAATCTATACATATAAAAAATGGAAATTTGTAAATGTGTGTCTGTTCGAAATGTTTAGTATACTTCCCAACATGCAACAAACTTGAAATTTGGCAAGTGGGTAGCTTCCAGACTGTACACAATGCAAAAAGTATAAAAATAGACTTTTATATTTTGGGGGGGGGGGGGGGCGCAATAATGGATATATTTTGCACGGCAAGTGAGCGGTGACGTCATATCTGTGATGTCACCCGCATGCGGCAGCGTTATGCAGTGTGCCTGCTGACGTCACGCATCCCCCCCCCCAACCCTCCGCGTAGGCCGTGTATGAATCCAAGACAAGAATAAAAGTCTCGGGCGAAGCCGGGTTGTGAAGCTCGTTAAGTATAAATAACTTGACTTGTCTATTGTCATTACGAATTTACTCAAGTATTATTTAATACGATTAATTTAATTAGCACTGAGTGGGTTGTCCAGATCCCACTTGCACATAAATATCTGCAGAGGCAAGTGAGCAACCAACCCATTCCTCCCTGGGGGATGGTTAGGTTGTAGTTACAGTAATTGCTAGTCTATACAAGGGAACATTTACAGTGCATTGGCATCAAGTATGCTTAAACCATCCTCTTGGTTTCGATATGTAGATGATACATTGGTTGGTTGTCTGCCAACATGACAGACACACTTTGAGATACATTTCTAGACCACCTCAGCTCACAAAAACTGGACATTCAGTTTACCATGGAAGTGGAAGAGGGCATCACCCTCCCATTTCCTTGATGTCCTGCATGGGCCACCCTAATATATATGCCTGGGCAAATTGATTAGCGTCTCAGTAGGAGAAACTTTAATGGAGATATAAAAGGCTGTCAGAAACATTAATGATTTCAAAACGGACATTAATTATCATAAAATATACTTCGTGGCCACAAAAATACAAATGAATTACATTACGATACCACATTGCACAGACCTCAAGGAATTTAATTAAATAAAGGCTGATATGGGAGCAAGTTCATCGTATGTGCATACCTGGAATCAACGATGGTGGATGTTTTAAATGAAGCAGGAAGTTCTTCAATCAGATGCAAACCACCAACTGCACAAAAGGCACACTGTAAATACACATGCATTTCTACTCAAGGATATGGTGCATACAAATATAACGCGTCCTTTTATGATTATCTATTATTTTCATTGTTTTATATTGCTAGTACACGTTTATCATCTGTATTACGGTATATAATACATTCAATTCCCCCCCTCTGGCAGACTAATAAAACAATTACCTTGAAAGTTACGTCTTCAATTTGAAATCCTGCAAGGATGTACCAAAAGTACAGCTGAACTGTGCCATCAAGGGTGGCTTTCTCAGCACATGTTTGCAGATTTATCCCCAGGAGCGAACCCAGACTTACAAGTTAGTGGTAATGACATACTCTGAGCCACATGTTATTTAAAATGAAGAGTAACGCAAACAATCTATGCTGGCAGTACTACCGTCGGTTGTACTACGAGATTATTCTTGTTAAAATTATTCAAGTGCTTCACAAAATAACTTACTTCAATACACACAATTTTGTCAAGCTATAGATGTGTTTTTGTGAAGAAATAAAAAGACGGTGGCAGTTTAAGTGAAATAACTTCCATCCTTACTTTTAGGAACACTTCACAAATCAAACTGCATAAAACCACAAAATTAACACCACGTGTCGTATTACTATTCACCAAACGTGAATAATAATATTGTGCGGTTAAAAAATGCGAAAACTACATCACCTTTTCGGTGTGCCTATGTGTGTTTCTCTCTCTGTCTGTGAATCTCTCTGCTTGTGTGTCTGTGTCTCCGTGTCTATGTTTTGTCTCTCAAATTTAGCAATCTTTGGAAGAACGTAATCAACCAAGTGGGGTGTTGACTGTTGTGTTGGCCGACTGTGTTGTATTGCATTATATTACCAAGTTTACTATTTTTGTTTTCTCATTCATGATGATAGTTGCTTGTGTTGCAATCGAAACGTCGTATTCTATTATTGAATTTATTTCTACGTGACTTACCGAAAGAACCAAAGAACTACATCACGTACTATTACACAAATATGTAATACTACATTAATATTATTGGGTCTTTCAGTAAAGCCACGTAGATAGGTTCAAAGAAAATAACAAAAAAATAACAACAAAAAACGACGATGTTTCGATCGCAACACAAGCGGTCGTTTTCAGGAAAAAAAATACTACCATTAAAAACGACCAACATTTACAAAAATTCAGGATTTTTTTTCAGATAATTCTATATGTTTTACGACAGGACAGAGCAAGTGACGGACTACTTCAACACCTGCTGACAAAAAACGAACCCAGGAACGTCTGGCCGGGTGCCGTTTGTCGCCTCGAATGCTCACTGCCTCCTCCTTTGGTGCGGGACAGAACGACGTTTCTGTCTAAGTACTTCTCGAACTTTTCCGCATCCTTTTGTCTGTTCGTGTGCCTCACTATTTATGTCTGCACATGGCCTGCCAGTTAGGTAACGAGCAAATCCTAATATATACAGTAGACTTTATGAGACCTCCTTTGCCAGAAACAAGATATAGGAATAGGTTTTACCCTTTTAACTGGCACAAAAACTGACACCTTTATTCAAGGCATCATGTTTGCAATGACCACAACACAAGCATTTTGACTGCTTGTGTTGTGGTCATTGCAAACATAATGCCTTGAATAAAGGTGTCAGTTTTTGTGCCAGTTAAAAGGGTAAAACCTATTCCTATACAGTAGACTCTCGATTAACCGCGTGCGGTTTATCCGATTCGCGGATTAACCGCGCGCCCGAGATTGACATAAATTAATAACTCATGGATTTTCCCTTAAACACAGATTAGTAACACCTAAAACAGTTATCTTGGACATTTGTATTACAAGCTACATGCTTAAACCGAACAAGTATGTGCTCCGGTTAATCCGAAATCCACGTGATCGCCTCTACAGTACAGCACATATAAAAGCAGAGATCACACGTGCGCACCTTCACCCAACTTTTGACTTGGGTTACGTTAACGACCGTTAAGTACCTCGTTTGTTAGTTCTGCAATGTTCCTTAAAATTGACGTTGCGTCTGTTTTTGTTGATCTGCTAACGCCACACAGACTTGACACAAATAGCCGAGCAATTTGCCAAACATAATCATCCGTGGAACAAATCAAACAAACTTAAATCACCACAAAACGCGCTTGATCTCGTTGGGTTTCGGCTTGTTATTAAGTTCGATGCGTGACCGCGATGTTAAGACTGGGGACAGCGAAGTGGCTATGCGCTGAGTGTCACTCCCTCGCATGATACGTGGGTGGATGTTATTCGGGTTACCTCCAATTCCTATAAACACAAAGAAACACTCATCAATAGCCGTGGTAAACCATGGCCATTGTAGGACCCTCAAAATGGCTATTTTAGATCCCCGTGAGATGTTCTAGGGTGTAAAAAAAAACCAATCATTAGGGCCGCAATTTTACTTTGTGCGTTCTCCCTCCGGCTCGCACTTCCGTACGTCTGCATTCCTCCCTCTCTCTCTCTCCCGGTCCTCACAATTCGTTTCACCCTTTGTCTCCGTGTGTATCTCTCTCTCTTCTCTGTATCCATCTCTAACCGTGTCCGTCTCCCAAGCTCTCTGGGTCTGTTCCCGTGTCTCGGGTCCTCCGGGTGAGGTCTCTCTAGGACTCGAGACCCGCACAATTCCATGGGCTAGGCCTACAACACCGTCCACCCCTCACCATTGTTATTATTCAGAATCTACGTGAAAAAAACCGGCATACGTAGCGCGCAGAGCAGTCGACATCACGCGCTGTACGCACTCGAGCCTTACAAAAAAAGGGCCACGGATTTTTAATTAAAGCGACGACGAATCCCCCGACGCGCCTCGGCCCGAAGCCGGAGGCCTTCGTTAGGCCGCGCGCAGGGTCGGCCCCGCCAATCCGGCTTCACGGCAACCTCACGGGCAACCCCTTTCCCCGCCGCCCCAGCCCAGAGCGAGGCGCGAAACGGCTTCCCCGCGATCTCCTGGCGCCGTGAAGGCGTCGCGGAGCCCCTCACCTGAGGGCTCGAGGGGAGCGGAGAGAGCGGAGGGACGGGACGCGCACTTCGCCTTCATTCAAACAACTCGCTCCCAGCAGCAATGGCGGCGCGCGTCAGCGCCTCAAGGACCCCACCCCCCCCCCCGAGAGGGGCGGGGTGAGGGGGATAGAGAGAGGGGCGGGGTGTTGGGCGGGGGAAGAAAGGAGGGGGGTAAGGAGGGGGGCGTGGGTGCGGGGGAAGGGGGCGTGAGGGAGCGACTGGGGACAGGGAGCGAGGAATTGAGGGGGGGGGTAGAGGGGGGAAGGGCGGAGAGGGGGAGCAGGGGGGAGAGGGGAGAGGGGGGAGGGGGCAGGGGAGAGGTGGGGCGGGGGAGAGAGGGGGCAGAGGAGAAGGGGGGCGGGGGAGAGGGGGGGCGGGGGAGAGGGGGGGGGGGGGGCGGGGGAGAGGGGGGGCGGGGAGAGGGGGGGCGGGGAGAGAGGGGGGGTGGGGGTGAGGGGGCGGGGTAGAGGAAGGGAGGGTGAGAGGGGGGCGGGGTAGAGGGTAGAGAGGGTGGGCGGGGGGCGGGAGGAATGGAGGGAGCGGGGTGAAGGCGTTGGGGCTGTCCACGGCGATCGCCTGATCCGAGGGTTCAGATTGCGAACCGAAAACCGGTACAAAGCGGTAACCGTTTCTTTAGAATCAATTCTCACTGACCGATCACGGTAGTCAGACAGTGGTGGTAATCGAATCTAGCGGATGCTTGCGATCACTGTTGCGCAACTTGTTTCCGTGCAACTGGATCACTTGCGTGTGGAAATCGATGCAACCCGATTGCGAGCAGTTGGATTCGCAGGCGACCTGTTAACGCAATAATCATCAGCGCCTCCGCGGGGAACGTCAACAAACACGCCACGAGTCAACAGGGAAATGTGGTCGTCACGTCCATACGGCGTGCAGCCAAACAATAATGATACATCCGTGTCTATTTGCGTGTGTTTCTTCCCCTTGCGATGGGGACTCTGTAAGGGGGACGAACGTTGAGATTTATGATGGGCACGGGGTCACCAATAAGGTCTGAATTGGTCTCATAATGGCCCTTCACGTAACTCTCCCCAATCTTGACTTGCTGAGGGAATTCATCATATTCTTGGGTCTATTCGGTAAAGTCGCGTCGATAGGTTCTAAGAAAATAACAAACAAACAAACTAAAATAACAGGGAAAAAAAAACACGACGACTTTTCGATTAGCAGCACGAGCGGTCTTCGTCAAGAGAAAATTCCGACGAAAGCTTGTGCAAGCGTTCGAAACGTCGTGGTTTTTTTAGTTTTTGTTATTTCCTTTGAAGCTATCTACGCGAGCCAAGAGTGTCTCTCCACCAACATCTCCCTAATAACGTACAGATGTATTGCGCAACCCACCAAATCCGACGTGGAGCTTTTTTGGCGGAGTGCGTTCCAAACAAGCGTCCAAAAACCGAGTTCATTTGTTGTTGGCTTGCCACTGGAAAAGGTCCCACGGCTGGATGAGTAACTACTAAGTCACAGTCACAGCCACAGCAGCAGCAGCGAGAACAAACTCCTCCACCACCTCCTCCACCACCACCCACACCCCACACTGCGCTCTCGCAGACCACATCCAGCCAGCGACATGTCAGCATCTCAGCCTCCGGCTCTCGTGTCGGCACGATGGCTGTTCGAGAACATCTCTCCCTCCTCCTCCTCCTCATCATCACCGCCGCCGCCGCCGCCTTCATCACCATCACCGCCACCACCGTCGCCACTTGGCCCGGCGCTCGTTGTGCTCGACGCGTCGTGGCACGTGCCGGGCACGGGCAGAGATGCCCGCCAGGAGTTCGTCCACGCTCGCGTCCCAGGTGCTGCCTTCTTCGACCTGGATGAGAGCAGTGACCGGCAGGGCACCTTCGGCCTCCACGCGATGCCGACCGCCGCAGCCTTCACCCTCTTCGCCCGCGGGCTCGGCGTGTCGGCCCGCTCGCACGTCGTCGTGTACGACAGAGGCAGCTCCGACCCCACGGCGGCCCGCGCCTGGTGGATGTTCAGGGCGTTCGGCCACAGCGCCGTGTCCCTGCTGGACGGCGGCCTCGAGGCGTGGAGGGCCGCCGGCTTCCCGCTCGAGGCGGGGCTCCCGAATGCTCCGGCGGCATCGGGAGTGCGACTCACAGATGGAGGAGATGGAGGAGCAGGAGGAGGAGGAGCAGGAGATGGTGACGGCGCGTGGCTCTTCCACGCCACCGAGCCGCCGCCGGGGCAGCTGAAGAGCTTCGAGGAGATCCGAGACAACGTGAGCAGCAAGGAGTTCGTGCTGGTGGACTCGAGACCCGAGGGCAGGGTCACGAGCAGCGAGCCGCAGCTACTGCCAGGTGAGATATGTTGAGGGACAGCTGAGAGAAGTGGCACCTACTTGTGTGTGTCTCTCTCTGGGTGAGTGTATATGCGGGGAGCGGTGGCGCAGTGGTTGAGCGCGTTGTGCTACGAACCCGGCGACCCGAGTTCGATTCCCGTTCATGGCCAACACCGGTGACGATCATCTGAACCGATCCTGCGCCTCCCCTAGGTCGACTCGGCCTCAAATGAGTAACTGGTGCTGTGTGTAAATATCGCCACTCGGGAGACAAAGGCGGACGGGCGTGATGCTGGCCACCCACACCCTCGTGTGGCCGTGCCGGCCTTCATAGGGTGCTCACCAACAGCACTTGCCCCAACAGTCTGTTAAGGCTACACGGGGGATCTGTGTCTTTGTATCTGGCGGGTATTTATTGCTGGGTTCATCTCCTCGCTGACAGGTCATCGACTCTTGAATCTGTTCCATGTGAAAGGATTATCCAGGTAAAATTGTTCGATTCGAATATGAACCGGCAGATCATCAGGGATAAATGTGTAACCATAATACTTTAGTCCACTGGGTTCAGGAATTAAATATCAAAGGCGTCTTCGTCTGGTTTTCTGAACCACGTGCATTAACCACGCTTCATTATACAAAATTTGCTACGGTTGTTTAAAATCTTATGTACTCTGATAGTCAAATGTAACCCTTCGAAATATTCCCTCGATATTTGCGAGGGATACATTCCGGAGATGCTCGTGAATTGAACATTTCGCGGATAATGACATTGCCATATTTTTTTTTACGAATTACCGTAAATAAAAAAATTAAAATGTAACTATTAAATACATGTACATTTTTACAACAGAAAAAAAATGGGGAATAATAAACGTAAAGAAAATAAATATAAATATGAAAGTATTCAATAATCTTGATTTGAAGCTTTCATGACTGCAGGAATCCATACTCTTTGGTTCTTTCGGTAAAGTCACGTAGGTAGAAGATAAAAATAAATCCCGACGTTTCGATTTCAACACAAGCAGTCTTCATCAGGTGGGACAGCAGGAGATAATTGCTGAAGTGTGCGAGAGAGCTGCAGTGGCAAGAGGTTATATGGGTGGTGTAAATGTGGTCGGTATTACCTCGTTGTCGCGGCGTCTCTTCAGAAAGGTGAGAGACTCCATCAGGGATGCGGGGATGCAATAGTTGGCTCGCTCTTCTTGGAAAGCAGCTGTTAAGAGTTCGTTTTCTGGTCACATATGAACCTTATACACTACCTATATCACCTCTTGCCACGGCAGCTCTCTCGCCCACTTCAGCAATTGTCTCTTGCTGTGGTTGTCCCACCTGACGAAGATTGCTCGTGTTGCAAACGAAACGTCGTGATTTGTTTTACTTTATTTTATTTTTAAATACGTGACTTTACCGAATGAACCAAAGAGTATTAAATAATCGTTTATAAATTTACTTACTTTAAATGATGATGATGTTGATACGCATCATCACTTTGTCGCATCGCCTTCTCTCTCATCGCCTTCTATCTCATCACATTCTCTCTCATCGCCTCACTCCCATCACATTATCTCTCATCACATTCTCTCTCATCGCCTTCTCTCTCATCGCCTTCTCTCTCATCACATTCTCTCTCATCACATTCTCTCTCATCACTTTCTCTCTCATCACATTCTCTCTCATCACTTTCTCTCTCATCGCTTTCTCTCTCATCGCTTTCTCTCTCATCGCCTTCTCTCTCATCGCTTTCTCTCTCATCACCTTCTATCTCATCGCATTCTCTCTCATCGCCTTCACTCCCATCGCCTTCTCTCTCATCACATTCTCTCTCATCGCCTTCTCTCTCATAGCCTTCTCTCTCATCACATTCTCTCTCATCACATTCTCTCTCATCACATTCTATCTCATCGCCTTCTCTCTCATCACTTTCTCTCTCATCACATTCTATCTCATCGCCTTCACTCCCATCGCCTTCACTCCCATCGCCTTCTCTCTCATCGCCTTCTCTCTCATCGCCTTCTCTCTCATCGCCTTCTCTCTCATCACTTTCTCTCTCATCACATTCTCTCTCATCGCCTTCTCTCTCATCGCCTTCTCTCTCATCGCCTTCTCTCTCATCGCCTTCTCTCTCATCGCCTTCTCTCTCATCACATTCTCTCTCATCACATTCTATCTCATCACATTCTATCTCATCGCCTTCACTCTCATCGCTTTCTCTCTCATCGCCTTCTCTCTCATCGCCTTCACTCCCATCGCCTTCTCTCTCATCACATTCTCTCTCATCGCCTTCTCTCTCATCACATTCTCTCTCATCACATTCTCTCTCATCGCCTTCTCTCTCATCACTTTCTCTCTCATCACATTCTCTCTCATCACATTCTCTCTCATCACATTCTCTCTCATCACATTCTCTCTCATCACATTCTCTCTCATCGCCTTCTCTCTCATCGCCTTCTCTCTCATCACTTTCTCTCTCATCACATTCTCTCTCATCACATTCTATCTCATCACATTCTCTCTCATCACATTCTTTATCATCGCCTTCACTCCCATCACATTCTCTCTCATCGCCTTCTCTCTCATCACATTCTCTCTCATCGCCTTCTCTCTCATCACATTCTCCCTCATCACTTTCTCTCTCATCGCCTTCTCTCTCATCGCCTTCTATCTCATCACTTTCTCTCTCATCACATTCTATCTCATCGCCTTCTCTCTCATCGCTTTCTCTCTCATCGTTTTCTCTCTCATCGCTTTCTCTCTCATCGCCTTCTCTCTCATCGCCTTCTCTCTCATCACATTCTCTCTCATCGCCTTCTCTCTCATCACATTCTCTCTCATCACATTCTCTCTCATCGCCTTCTCTCTCATCGCTTTCTCTCTCATCACATTCTCTCTCATCACATTCTCTCTCATCGCTTTCTCTCTCATCGCTTTCTCTCTCATCGCCTTCTCTCTCATCGCTTTCTCTCTCATCACATTCTCTCTCATCACATTCTCTCTCATCGCCTTCTCTCTCATCGCTTTCTCTCTCATCGCTTTCTCTCTCATCGCCTTCTCTCTCATCGCCTTCTCTCTCATCGCTTTCTCTCTCATCGCCTTCTCTCTCATCGCCTTCACTCCCATCGCTTTCTCTCTCATCGCCTTCTCTCTCATCGCCTTCTCTCTCTCGATGCAGTCGTGCAGAGTTCCAAATGCAATTCGCGGACAGCCAAAATCGCGCATAGCAAGTTCGTGAATAACGATGGGATTCTGTGTGTGCCATTGATTCAGTCCGGCTGTGTGAGCAGTGGCCACTGCATAATCTGTCACTCATCGCCAGAGCCCTCCCTGCCAGGGCAGGACAAGGACAGCAAGTAGGTGCTGTCTTTATTTAACAGGCCGGTGATATCAACAGACAGAAACACATTTTAGGTTTGTCTCATTGCAATAACGCATGGTGCAGGGATGCAAGAGTTGGCTCGCTCAATTTGGAAACCAGCTGTTCAGAGTTAGCTTTCTTGCACACATGTGAACCTTATGGCCCCCGGCTCTCGCATAAACATATTATATTATAATGTTAACATAAACTTTGCTCTTTTTCACCACTGGGTTTGAAGGATGGTGGTAAGTGTTGTCTTGTTAACTATGTCTTTAATTTCAAATCTAGATATGCGTTTACAACTGAAAACTACTTACGTGCAGTACCTCTACTTAAAGACACTTCCGAAAAAATAATTTACATCCCTCTGTCAATCATCGTGTTTCCCAGTGTGAATTTGTGAACACACTTTGTAAACAGTACATAACATAGTACACGTTATCAATGCGCTGTTCATAATGTAACAAGCGTTTATACCAATGTTACTCTACAGAGTAGTGGGTCGCCGCTCCTCTTATCCGCATTGATACGAGCGGTATGTAGGGACTATGCCTTAACCGCAAAAAAACTATCTGCACAGATGCATACGGACAAGAGAAGTCTTTTCAAACAGGAGGAATTAACGGTGCAACGCATCTCATCTGTTAAATATCTGCAGGGAATAGGATTGTCATCGATTGATCCTGGCTGCAGACATTGGTAGGTCACAAATAATAATGAAGATGAGAGAGAGCAGTTTCACTGTATTGTTATGCATACCGTTATGACAAATAAAGGACTGAAGTCGTGTAGGCAGTTAAACAGTTTGAGCAGCTTTGGATGAGACTCATGACCCGAGCATGGAGTGCATTCGCTTGTTCAGCTCTTCTGCGCATTCGTCCTCACTGCTGTATTTTGTACGACATGACAACAGAACGATCCGCGCCAGGCGTTTATGTGCGCGGTGGGACGGAGTGGCCAAAAATAAATAAATTAATTACGATTTTGACTTCCGTTTATTCGGGACCCGATGTTCCGCAATGAGGTTCATATATCATCCGTGGCGAGTTAATATCCGAACGGGTCACGGTGACCCTCAACCCCTCCTTCACAAAGCCCGCACGTGCCAGCGTTTGGGCAAGCGAACAACCCTGCACGACCAACAAGACCGTGCGGGGGGGGGGGGGGGGGAGTCTTCCAGAAGTGGATCGGTAATGGGACGTTAATTGTCATTGTAATAACGCAGCCACACATTTAGTTATTTTCCTTTTTCATCTAACCGATTTGGCTGCCATTTGTTTTACTGATCGTGGACAAATTTAATGCTATAGGGGGCGCGGGTGGCTGCGGAGTGGCCTGCACCACCGAATGTAGAACTGAACAAAACAATTTGTTTTTTATTTTACCAGGCAAAGCCCACTGAGCTGCATAGCTATTTTTCAGAAGCGACCTGGATCACAAATGATTGCTCAACGAAGTGAATTATCGTGTGGAAATTTATAGCAGTCCCGAAGACCCGGATAAAAATCCACGCGAATCAAGCGGAGAGAGAGAGAGAGACACGCAAACTCCAAATATACCGGCGTAAGGGTCGGGATCGAGCCCACGACCACCAATATACCAGGCGATGTAGTTAACATCTCGCCACACGTTGTGCCCCAAATGTAACATTCTCCCCCCCCCACAGTTAACACTCTCCTTATCAGTGATGGTGGGCCCCACAACGATCCTACTGATAGTAAGTAGCTGGAGCCTGGGCCCGACCGCGTACGCCCTGGACTCTACGATAATAATAATAAACCCAATTTATAACCAGCACATTTCCCCCACCCACCCCACACACAGTTAACACTCTCCTTATCAGTGATGGTGGGCCCCACAACGATCCTACTGATAGTAAGTAGCTGGAGCCTGGGCCCGACCGCGTACACCCTGGACTCTACGATAATAATAATCATAATAATAAACCCAATTTATAACCAGCACATTTTCGCGAATCGGACGCAATGTTCCATCGGGAACATTCAGGGGAGGAAGGGGAATGTATATATTTTTTTCATAGTTGAGAACTGGAATGAAGCTCTGGAGTGGGTGATAAGAAGGGCTTCACTGTCATCAGGAATATGAAAGTGAAGCAATTTCATCACACACTGAGCCAGGCAGTGGGACGCAGTCGGCTGGGATAAACAGTTATGCAAACCCTACTCAGCCCCCACCCCCCCAATTTAATTGGCAAAATGTGAATAAGCTGTCTCGCTCGCGTTGCTTATAGTTTGCTCTGCCTGGTGCCATTCGCCCACATGTAACCTTTACAGGATATTCACATGCATGTCGCAAATATTGAGATCGAAACGCACGTTTTTTTATGAATGTATCGCGATTGTAAGGATCGATATTTCATTGATGAAATGCTACATGTTGACCTTATCTGCTGACGGCTGAAAACAGCAAAAAATTTCTTTATTTTAGCAAATATCATATTGCATCATATAGTCATAGGGGCCGTCCATAAATGACGTCACGCACCGGGGGGGGGGGGTCAGACATTTGTGACGATGTGTGACGAGCGGGGGGGGGTTGAGAAATGTGACGTCACATCAAAATGCGCAACTTTTAATTTTAGACAACACGTTCTACTTAATTAAATAGACTTTTTAATAAATGTTTTCTCCTACAACATCAGAGTGCAGCGCCACATTAAATACACACTACAATGACAATAGTTGTATTTTATGGGGGGGGGGGGGGCAGAGCTTTGTGATGTCATATTTGAGGGGGGGTCTGACTTTTTGTGACGTCGTATGACGAAGGAGGGGGGGGTCAAAAATCGTCCAAAATCGCGTGACGTCATTTATGGACGGCCCCATACCCTCTTACGTCCCCGATTCAATGGAAGCCGAGCCCAATGGATTGCAGGGAGGAACAAGGAAGCTGGGCCTGTGGATCGGGGCGTTTCTCCCACTGCTGACAAGGTCTCCAATAAGTTTCCCTGGTCTGGATGTTGAATCTTTTGGTATTCACGCCGATTTCTAATAATCCCCATCTGCTGTGACTTGGACTACTTGCAGCGACACACGTTTCTTAACACAAACAAATAATTCGCGTTCGTCCTGGAGAATACAAATAACACAATAAATATGCAGACAATATGACTCCGTCCCATATATGTTCCTGCACGTAAATATGTTTTCCATATACCATCAACTACACGACCTTGGAGTGCGGAGTTTCAGTAACGTTGGTTCACCGCCTTTTTTTCTTCAAAACATTGGTTGTGAAGGCATTATCCTTCTGCATGCATGAAATTTATTATCCATTGTAATATATTATTATTATGATTATTATCCAGTGAACAAAACTGTGCAAATAAGACAGAACACACCGGAGACAATAACAATGATGCGGCACAAATAGGACAAAAATAATCCATTCCTGAATCGAATCACGCGTCTGGAGTGATTGACTGCACTGGTGGTTCTCAACAGGGGGTGCGCAGACCCCTGGGGCTACGTGAGGTGATTCATAAATGTGGGAAATTATATCATACGTGAGAGTCATTGGTGAATAATCAGGTATGAATCTGCCAATTTAAAATAACTTCGATAAAATAAAATAAATTAATGTGGTAACCTAGAGCGATATAAAAGACCTTTCTAAACTCATTGATGGTACACAATGTGGTTTCCAAGAGTAATCAGCGAGCGCGAACAGATCACGTCACGCACGAAGAGCGTCCGTTGACATTTTTTTATTCGTTTGCAGTTACTCGCTATAAAATAGAACCTTTTGCCAGTATCAAAGTATGAAAAAATAAGGATAGGTTTTTTATCTTGACTTAAAGCTTTCGTGACTGCAGGAATTTACCAGGAGTTGTTTAGATGTTCAAACACAAAAAAAATATTTTTCAAGGAATCAAGTCTGCATTAACCACTCGTACTTGTGGTGAACATGCAAACGTTTTTTTTGCAAAAAAAGGTTTCTATCTGGTGTTTGAACATCTTAACACCTCCTGTTTTATTGCCAGAAAGGGGTAAAACCTATTCTTGTTTTTTTCATAGCTACTTGCTAATGTAATGACAGGGTGCCATCTGTTGACCAGGAGGGGTAATGACGAGTATAATAATCGACTAGAAGAGGGGCATAACCGGGTTCAAGGTGAAAGTCGGGGTCAGTCGGGAAGCTCCAGGAACCTGCTCGGAGGTCAAAGGTCGTCGCTATAGAGTTAGACGATGGGGCTGTGCGGATGGGTCAGCTATGCGTAGCCGTGTATGTATATACCTGAAGTGTGAGAATAAATATGAAGCCCTCTACACGTTGTGTCTTGTAAGTCGCTCTACTGCACTAGTAAGGTACCTCACAAAATGGACAATTGGTAAAAAAAACAAATGTATGTTCATTATTCATTTAAAAAAATTCCCAGAGCCATGTTGGGTCAGGGCTAGGAGGCTACTCGGTTGAAGCAAAATTCAACAAGGGGGGTACAGGAGCCCAAAAATGTTGAGTTACATCAGGACTACACGGTTACTACGCAGCCACTAATCCCTAACAAGAGTCTTTGTTGAGGATTGTGTCGCGTAGGCATGAGGATGATGACGATGATGGGGGGGGGGGGGTTGTGATATGGGGGTTGCTGGCTATTCGGATTGCGGTTGACGACGGGAAGGAGGTGATATGGCTGCATGCACGTGGGGGCGAGTGTGGGAGGGGGGGTCCAAACATTGAGGAAAAAAAATCAGTCCTCTTTTCGCAGTCATATAAGTAGCTGTTGTCACATGGCGATTGGCTGATGAAAGGCCCTGTCAATTGATTTCATGGACAACAGAGAGAAGCCATTAGGATGTGAATTCAAAAATCGTGCCACCTTTCCATTACTATTTCATAATAGTGATAAGCCAAGAATGTGTGTGTGTGTCCTGCGCGTGACGTAACGCCACATGAGGCCCACCCCTCCGCGTGACGTCACTCCTCATGAGGCCCACCTCCCCACGTAACGTCACTCCACATGAGGCCCACCCCTCCGGGTGACGTCACTCCACATGAGGCCCACCCCTCCGCGTGACGTCACTCCACATAAGGCCCACCCCCCCCCCCCTCATTAATATTCATGAGTGGGTGGATTTTTACACAAACGCAGAGGAAGGTCGAGCTGAATTGAATAATTTGTTACGCAAAGTCGCTTCAAATATGACGTTTCTTTACAGAAAGTGACGGTAAAAAATCAATGTAAGTGGCACAGTGCTACATCCGTGCGTGACGTCACTGCAAAAGAGCCCCCCCTTCATTAATATTCATGCCCACGTGGAAATTTACACGAACGCACAAGAGGGTCGCGCACTCCACATGCCGCAACCCTCCCCTCATTAATAATCATGAGCGGGTGACGTCACTCCACATGCCGCACCCCTCCCCTCATTAATAATCATGAGCGGGTGACGTCACTCCACATGCCGCACCCCTCCGCTCATTAATAATCATGAGCATATGACGTCACTCCACATGCCGCATCCCCCCGCTCATTAATAATCATGAGCGGGTGACGTCACTCCACATGCTGCACCCCTCCCGCCATTAATAATCATGAGCGTATGACGTCACTCCACATGCCGCACCCCTCCGCTCATTAATAATCATGAGCGGGTGACGTCACTCCACATGCTGCACCCCTCCCGCCATTAATTATGATGAGCGGGTAACGTCACTCCACATGCCGCACCCCTCCACAATAACCATTAACGGGTGACGTCACTCCACATGGGGCAACCCCCCTCATTAATAATCATGAGCTGAACAATTTCTCTATTGAATATTTCAGATTTACTGCAATATACACCCGTCATTTGATGGGCAAAAAAGCTCGTCTCAAAATAATTTTAATGTTTCAGTCCCCTATCAATCGTCTGGCGTGAAGGTCGTGGGGGAATTTGATTCCCTTGCCAGAGCTAACATCCGTGACCAGGTATCAAACCCCCGGTCGAACAATATGACAACCCTTTGTCGCTGGAAGTCAAAGTACACCACATTAAACTTGACTCTGCTTGTCTTGTAGACTTCTCTTCCAGCCACATACCTGGATCGGTGTCCATGCCTTACAGCAGCGTCATGGACCCACACGCTGGGCTGGTAAGTGAGACTTTGTTACAGTTAACCAGTAAGCACTGACATTGATTTCCCAACAATCACTCGTGTGTACTCATACTCTTTGGTTCTATTCGGTAAAGTCACGTAGGTAAAAATTTAAACAACAACAAAAAATCACGACGTTTCGGCCACAACACAAGTGTCCTTCATCAGGTGAAGGGACCGTACTGTCCAGAGGACAGCGTTGGAGTGAAGACAGCCAAGCCCAGGTCGCGTCCTTCAAGCTGTGTGGGAGGAAACAAAAAAAACGCCTTGACAAAGGAATTAGCATACAATGATGTACTACTGTGAAAGTTTGGGATACCACTACTTGAATAAATATACTGTACCATTGAAAATTAGTTGAATGTTTGGTATGATTTAGAACATCTTTCCAATGATTGCTTAATTTGAAACCATCTTCTCGGTTGAAATTGTGTCTGTGTTTGTAGATCTGAATTGCCTCGTGGATAAATCTTTTATAAAAACCCGTGGGTTTGCAGAAGACCTTGGTATCGGAGAAAATTATATCGTGATCACCCACAGCGTTGTAACAGTGATCAGATTTCTTACACCTCTTTGAGTGATTTTGCACACTGGAAATGCTAACTTTGATCCCTGGAACAGCACAGATAACAGGATGAGCTTTCCAATGTAATGTCAAAAACATTTCATGGAACATTTTGACTGATATCAATTTCGTGTACAGCCATTTATCCTTGTCCATAGCCACTCGTGGATGCCCAATTAAATGCTGCACGTTGAATTGCTAACAGGTGATGACTTAGACATGAATGGAATTGTATGATGATTGTGATGACGACGTTGATGATTGTGGAAATGAATGGCAGTGAAGAAGGTTACGCATTTACGAGGACAATGACGATGGATGAAGATGATAGTGCAGCAATGACGAGTGAGGAAAAAACAAAGCCTACGGATAACACCCGTAATTCCCGTTCTGCAGGATGCACCTCGCTGGTGAACAAAGCTACAAGACAACGTGAAACAATGGTCTCCCTATAAGCTCTGTCTGTACCAGCATTGCCGCTATTTAACGTTTATCGTGACCACCCATGTACATCACCCCTCACAAGTTCATGTATGCAGATGACAGCGGCCCTTGCTGCACACGGCACAAACTGCGGTGAACATTTCCAGTGCTCGAACAGCTGATCTCACTTGATTGATGTCCATCACTGGAGACTCCAATCAAATCCCTCCGAACCCAACACAAGAGCTTTCCACCTGGACATTCATGCCGCGGATGCCACCCTCGATGTGTCCTTCTGTGGTAGCCCAGCGCGCTATGACCCCACTCCAAGATGCCTAGAAGTTGTCACGGATAGCAGCCTCACCTTCAAGCCCCACACAACACACACGTGTGAAAAGACCAAATCAAGAAGAGCCCTATTCTTGGGTCTTTTGGTAAAGTCACATAGATAGGTTCAAAGAAAATAACAAAATAGCAACACAAGCAATCGTCATCACGATTGCTTGTGTTGCGATCGAAACGTCGTAGTTTTTTGTTTGTTAATTTTGTTATTTTCTTTTAACCTATCTACGTGACTTTACCGAAAGACCCACGAATATGAATTCCTGTAGTCACGAAAGCTTTAAGTGAAGAATCGCCCTGCTACAGAATATGACAGGAAGGATCTGGGGCGACTGAGCTGATGTGCTGCGAACTGCCTCCCTCCCACTGATCCACTCAGTGGCAGAGGATTGTGTCCCAGCCTGGTCAGGGAGCTGGTACACAAAAAACGCAATTCGCATCATAACTGCGTCGTGTGGTGGAGGATTACGACACATTTATACTTACGCGATCTAACCCAAAAACCTTTATTATGAATAATATTTGTCACGAAAGCCTACTCGTTAAACATAAATTTGAAACCGACACCAATCCCCTGTCTCCCTGTTCTGGCGAACATTTTGCCACCAAAATATCCACAGAGACATCACGCAAACTGCAAGGGAGTTGGCACGGTTTTTTTTTTCCAACGACAACCACCGACCCATCATCAACCAAGACCTCGAACAATGTTCCTCTCCGTCCCGATCCCCTATCTTCTGTCACCATCGTAGAATCTCACCCAGATCCGGAAGAACGCTGCTGAACAGAGCGGAACAACGTGGACGTCCAGAATAAACATTTCATTCGAGACCCAAACATCGCACCTCCTGTCTTTGACATTAATTGAAGACACCGGTGGTGTCACCATCAACCGCATCAGAACATCATCAGGCTGAGTCTCACATCTCCTCTATCAATGGAAAATCAATGACAAGGCACAGTAGTTGCGAATGTGGCCATGAAACCCACGCTCTGGACCAGAGAGACATCGACTCTCAGTCTTCGCTCCTTCAATGGAGAAGGAACAGAAAAACTGCACGAAACTCTCCTGAAACTCTCTTGCGGCGAGCAGACTTCGACATTGACAATTAGTTCCTGAATTAATTGCGATACGCAAGAATAGAATAGGGTTAATGCGGATAGGTTTGGGGGAACTGATAGCATGAGCAGATAATAGGGGCATAGATACAATTAGTTCCACTGTCATTAGTGGATATCTTTTTTTCCAAATGAGCACAGTTATAAATCTTCGATTTGCGATTATGAAAATGAAGGTCGTGTTGATTATTAATGAGGTTACTGTGCAGATAGCAATTAACAGATTTCATGTTGGTGGCGGTGGACATCAGAGGGCTTTGCAACAAAAACACGACGTTGCACTGCACTTCCCCGTTATTCCGCGCACGAGTGCACGCGCGCGAGGCGAGGGCGTCACGGTTTGGCCGCGGCACGGCGAATCGCCGGTGGGAAAGAAAAAAAACCGGCCGTGCCGTGAAGGACAAGCTACAAGCTCGCCTCCGGCACGCCGGTGGGAAGAGGAGGAGGTGGAGATGGAGGTGGGGGAGGGGGTCCTCACACGCTTTGCCGCTTTCTGCCGCAGATGCTCGGCGTGGACGCGCTGCGGGCAGAGTTCGAGCGGCGCGGGGTGCCCCTGGGGCGTCCCTTCGTGGCCACGTGCATCTCGGGGGTCACGGCGTGCATGCTGCTGCTGGCCGCGCACTTGTGCGGCGCTCCCGACGGAGCCCTCTACGACGGCTCGCTGCTCGAGTGGACGGCGCGCGCGCCCGCCGAGGACGTCGCGACGGGGCCCGGGGCGAGGCGAAGCTCCGCGGCCCGAGCGCGACGCTTGAGCGGCGGTCGCTGAAGACCGCGGGCCGGGGCGGGGCTTTTGAAACCACGCGCGGGGGTGGGGTGGTCAGATCCACGGGTTCGGCATTGTTTAAAGACACGGATCCCGCGATCGTCGTCGCTCGTAGTATTTGCTGAACGGAATTTATGTCCGCGAAAGTTACAAATCCGGTTGTTTAAGCTGCACGGCTGTTATCCATTAAATCGACGCTCTGTGAAATGCTTTGCGGAGTAATTGATGGCATAGCAATGGTATGACCTGATCATTTCCACAGTCAGTTATATTTTGAATTCTTTTCAGTATTACGGGCACCATGTTCGTCATGAGCAAGATAGATTGCAAATACAGTATTACGAAAAGCTATGGCTGGCTTATGCTGAGTCAACTGCAGTTGAAATGCTCTTCAGACATCTTTATTTACAATGCAGTACATCGAAGCACAAAAACAATGAAAATAAACGCGTGGAAGAAACTTAACAATACTCTCGGGTTCTTTCGGTAAAGTCACGTAGGTATAAAATAAAATAAATCACGACGTTTCGATTGCAACACAAGCAATCATCATCAGGTGGGAAAACCACAGCAATACAATTTTTTGACAATGTCATGCGAAATTCAGATTGTGATGACGATCATCACGTCATGAAATCGGATAAAGCGTTGTGAGATATTCTATCGCGGCAACTCAACTAAATTATCACCGTACTTTTTTTATTCTTTCGGTAAAGTCACGTAGAAAGAAATTAAATTGAAGAATACAATTAGGACGTTTCGATTGCAACACAAGCAATCGTCATCAGGTACGAATTAATGAGAAATAACTTCCTGGTAAACTTAGTAATATAATGCAATGCCCCTACCTGGTCAGGTAGGGTGTTGACTGCAGTCACGAAAGCTCCAAATGAAGTTTTAAATGTCACCCTTGTGATCGGTTGACCCCGCTGGGAGCCTTCCACACCCATGTCACCGAAATATCCGGGGATCTTTGCTCTCGCCAGCTTTCGAATCTCAAGCCTCATTGTCACGAGGGTCCTGCCCATGACATCGCCATGCCAGGCGACCGGCCACCTCGAATGCGAGATGTGGGGAAACTTATTCATCGAGGGGACACTGAGGAGTGCGACGCTGTCAGATGTGGATTTCTGGGGGAGCTTAAAAAATGGGAGGTTCGAGGTAGGGAAATGCACAAAGGGGCCGTCCATAAATGACATCACGCGATTTTGGACGATTTTTGACCCCCCCCAAACCACCCTAGTCACACGGCGTCACAAAAAGTCAGACCCCCCCTCAAATATGACGTCATAAAGCTCTGCCCCCCCCCCCAAAAAAAGTAAAACATGCTTCAAATCGCTTTAAACTATTGTCATTGTAGTGCGTATTTAATGTGGCGCTGCACTCTGATGTTGTAGGGGAAAATATTTATCAAAAAATCTATTTAATTAAGTAGAACGTGTTGTCTATATTCATTTAAAGTTGCGCATTTTTATATGACGTCACATTTCTCAACCCCCCCCTCGTCACACATCGTCACAAATGTCTGACCACCCCCCCTAGGTGCGTGACGTCATTTATGGACGGCCCCATAGCGCGATGTCAAAATTAAAATTTTCATCCACTTATGAACACGCAACTTACGAACGCCCGCACTTATAAACCAGCTGCCATGAAAAATATTTATATTTAAACATGGACTTAAAACGCGAACTCTCACTTGCAAATTGAATCGCGGCACTAATCTGTTCAGCTGAGCGATCTTCGTGATGGAAGTGTGTTTGTAGGCAGTAGTGTAGCGGTTAGCGCACTGCACTACCAACCTGGTGACCCGGGTTCGATTCCCCTCACGGCCAACACCCAGTGACGATTATCCGAACCGGTCCTGGGCCTCCCCTAGGTCGACTCGGCCTCAAATGAGTACCTGGTTGTGGTGTGTAAACATCGCCACTGGGGAGATAAAGGCGGCCGGGCGTGGTGCTGGCCACCCACCCCCTCGTGTGCCGTGCCGGTCTTCATAGGTACTCACTAATAGCACTTGACCCACCAGTCTGTTAAGGATATACGGGGAATCTTTGTCTTTGTAGGAATTTAAATATACATTTTATTACTGCGTTCCGACTTACAAACCGTCCGACTTACGAACTGGTCTCAGGAACCAATTGTATTCGTAAGTCGAGGAATGTCCTACTATATTCGATTTTTTTCGCAGCTATGTACTGTAGTATCATTTATTCTAATATTTACACGGTATGCCTCATGATTTGAAAATATCATATGTAGTAAAGTGTTTTTTATTAGAATGGTAACCCCCAACATTGTCGTTCATAAACATGTATATTATTAATAATAATAACATTTGCGACTAGCACTCTCGCTATCGTTCGAGGCTCTCACAAGATGCTTTCGGGCACCACGGTGGCGAGATGTTAACTACCTCGCCGGGTATACAGGGGGTCATGGGTTCCATCCCGACACCTGTATATTTAGAGTTTGCACGTTCTCCCCGTGGTCACGTGGATTTTTCTCCGTGTCTTCCGGTTTTCCCATCCACATTTAGAAACGTGCTTTTAGAGTATTTGACTGCTAGAAATGTCCACATGATAAGCCATGAGATATCGTTTGTGACCAGGCGGCTTCTGAAAAAGAGCTATATAGGTAAGTGGGTCTTACCTGTATTTGTTTTTAATTAGACGTATTTGCCCTTTTTGAATTGTCCTACATACACCATTATTTTCCGCGCTTTGGCTAGTCACTGCTCGATAAAGGGCTCCACACGCCGCGTGAGTCGATAGGGGTTGTTTGACTACACTGCAGTACACATGCTCAGGTGAATGAAGGGTATTGGTCTGGGAACAGTACAGAATCCACTTGCCAATGACGTTTGCCATTGCCGGGAGACGAACTCAGGTCGCAAGTTTCGTTTCAGTGGACCTTACCTGATAAAATAGAAACATATATATAGTTTTAGGTTTCACAGGCAGATGTAGTCTGCCAGTAGGGAGCAATGTTGCTATGCGGTTTTATCCAATTAAGTAAATGTAGACAAATAATCTTTATAAGCAATGTATTCATTTGGAACCCCCAAGATAATTCAACTGTAGGAGGAATCAAAGTTAAAATAAATAAATGTTTTAAAACATCTTTTGATCTCGATCGCCTCCTTTGCTTCTAGCTGTGAAGAAAACATGGATCATCTTTACACATCTGACAGGCGACATGGAATAGTTACTGCTGGACGTTGATGATCATTGTGTCCAATGCTGTTGCTGATTGAAATATACATACAAATAGAAAACATCTAATGTCACTTATTAATAATAAAAATATACACCAATGGATGAATACAATCAACTCTTCAGTATCCATGCATAACATGTAAGTTTTCACAGTCTATGCTATGAATAAAAATGAATTTTTTGGTTAGATCAAAAAATCATCTGACCCAATTTGTGTTGCTAAAACCCTCCACCACCGATTACAGCCGAACAAAACTAAATTGTCAAGTGGCGCACCATCGTTTAACGCGCCAGTTGTCAGCGTTTCAACTCGAGTCGCAACAACTTCCTCAATTTTTTTTATTTTACTTCCCGGATCTTGCTTGACGTAATTTCAAAACGAAACATCGTATCTCTGCTGAATTTGTTTGCGAGGATTTTTTTTCTGCAACGTACCGGTGAGTGAGCTGAAATAATGACAATCAGCCGCTTTGTTAAACGCGTGTACACCACGCAACAGCTAATTTATTTACTTGGCCGTGTCAGGCGGCGGAGGATATTTATAAAAACACAAATTTTAGCCTGACCGTTACGTGGCCTCGCCCAAAGGGGCCGTCCATAAATGACGTCACGCGATTTTTGACGATTTTTGCCTCCCGCCCCCTCCTCGTCACACGGCGTCACAAAAAGTCAGACCCCCCCTCAAATATGACGTCACAAAGCTCTGCCCCCCCCAAAAAAATATATAACACATGCTTGAAATCGCTTTAAACTAATGTCATTGTAGTGCGTATTTAATGTGGCGCTGCACTCTGATGTTGTAGGAGAAAACATTTATTAAAAAGTCTATTTAACTAAGTAGAACGTCTTGTCTATATTTATTAAAAGTTGCGCATTTTGATGTGGCGTCACATTTATCAACCCCCCCGCCCCCTCCCTCGTCACACATCGTCACAAATATCTGACCCCCCTCCACCCCCCCGCCAGGTGCGTGACGTCATTATATGGACGGCCCCAAAACATCAACTTGCGATTTCGGCGTCAACACGTGCGCGCGCTCACGACCTCCATTACCCATCCGTGAAACTCTGAAAGCTGTTGCTCGGGCTGTTGTCCGTGATCTGAAGGCGATCCCTCTTGCCTCGCGCCGACCCCGCGGCGTCCTTGCCCGTCGGCCCCCCACTAGGTTGGGGGTCCCGCACGCCGGCGGGGTCCTCGTTGTCGTGCGAGGAGGCGGCCGCCCGCGAGTTCGCGAACGTCGCGTCTCCGCGTGCGGCTGCCGCCCTGGGATCGCGCGCGACCGCCCCTCTCCTGCGGGGCAGCAGCACGCGGCCGAGGAAGCTGCGGAAGTGCCTGCTGTAGAAGAAGTAGACGGCGGGGTCGAAGCAGCCGTGGCCCGCCGCGAAACAAACGAGGGCTCCCATCAGGGGCTTCATGCGGTTGGCCTGCTCGCAGTACCACCCGGCGTCGCTCTGCCCGTCGGCTCTCATCCGCAGGTACAGGTAGACCGTGCGCGCCACGTGGTATGGCACGAAGCAGGTCATGAAGAGGACGATGATGATGACGGCCAGCGCCTTGACCTTCTCGCGGCCCAGCCGACCCCTCGCACTGGAGCCGCCGTCTGCTGGCCCCAGGTTGAAGCGGCGGAGGATGGACACGTAGCAGAACACGATGATGACCAGGGGGAAAATGAGCCCCAACACGAGGGACGCGTTGCTCATGACGAACCTCAGCGTGGAGTCTACCTGTGGGTCTAAGCAAACCACATCCTTCCCTATTGTGCCCGCGCCTTTGAGAAGATAGGGTGAGGCGCCGACCGCCGTGAAGGCCCATATCCCCGAGCACAGCATCTTTGCTCGCCGGCTGCCGTCCTGCCACTGCTGTATCGGGCGGACCACGGCCAGGTAGCGGTTGACGCTTATCGCCGTCAAGAAGAAGATGCTGCTGTAGAGGCTCATGAAGAAGGCGTAAAAGACGAGGGAGCACGCGAAGTCTCCGAAAGGCCACCTGCCGCCCTGCAGGTGCGTGGCGACACGCAGGGGCAGCGTGAGCATGTACACGAGGTCCGCCAGAGCCAAGTTGATGCAGTAGCAGCGCGCGGCGTTGCGCTTCTTCAGCCGGAAAATGAACGCGAAGAGGGCCACGCTGTTCCCCGACAGCCCCAGGACGGCGACGATGATCAACACGGCGGCGTAGGCGTGCGAGCTGTCATCGGTGTCCACGCCGCAGTTGGACGCGTTGCGCGCGTTCGTCGGCGTCCCCATCGTCATTCCCGCACGCGCCCGCCGGTTGAGATCCTCTGTAAAAGTAAAAAAAATGGAGAAGGCAGCGGTTTCGTGCACGGTGGCCAGGAGACGTTAGCTACCGATCCTTGCTGTGTATTTATCGTTTTTGCGCGTCTCTCTCTGCCTGTGGTCACGTGGATTTGTCTCTGGGTCCTCCGGGTTTTCCCCTCTACGTTTAGACCCACCATGCTGTTTGAGTATGTGGCTGCTATAAATGTCCACGCGACGATGAGCCACTTGGTTGTCATTTGTGATAGCCAGATCGCTTCTGAAAAAAAGAGCCTGAGTGTGCTCAATGGGCCTTACCTGGTCAAATAAAAAATAAAAAGTTGAGTTTCTACGTACGGGAAATGGTGCGGCCCTGCAGTTGCTTGCTTACACCAATTGCTGGCGGATGGGCCTCCCAACAGAGGAAACGACGGAGAAGCCCTCTCGTGGTTATTTCCTTGGTCTTCCACATTGGCCAAGTGTCTCTCTGAAGACAGGCTTTGCCCCACCACACGTGGCCTGCCGATCGCCTCACCTCGACTCGCCCATTTATACATCTGGGTGAACAAAGTCAGGGGGGATGGACTCACACCGACCTAGACGACGTCGCCACGGCGGATTTCCTTGGAAATGCTCCAGAAGGAGTCATCTGCTCCCAAATCTCCAATGTATCTACGTATGTTGAACTTCTTTCGCACCGTACGTAGCCAACCGAGGTGCGGGGGAAGGACAACAAACTAAACACACAAAGCAGATGTCCAGTGTCTATGTTGATGACGCCCATCTCTGCGTCGGCATTGACTCCATGAATCCAATCTCACCGTTTGCTCTCCAACACACCGGTGTGCTGTACTAGTATCGAATTGGCATGTTCTGTTTACGTGACAAACCTTAGTAATTGGCTGTGCCGGGTGGTGGCGGGTGTAACGACGCATTTACATTTACGCGATCCAACTCCAAAAGACCTCCTTAAAGCACTTTGGATTTGTAATCGTTCGCGCATTGGTGACGTCACCACAGCGCTTGTGCCAGGCCAGGTGCACTTTGAGGCCACGTGAAGTGTCGAACGCCCGCTGGCAGGAGGTCACGGGGCAGACCCAGGTGCCACGGGTCGACTGAGATGACTGGCCGATGCACCACCTGTGCCCCCTACTGTGCCAACTATACAACATACACATAGATACGTACATACGAATGTAGTCAGTACACATTTCGGTGGAGGTTAGCTATGTGGTGAGATTGGCAGCGATTAGAACAGATGGAAATGAACATGAACAATCCCAGCACATGAGTGGAATCACGCACAAAAATTAATATCTGCCACGAAGTGGTGGCGATGCCTCCACAGCATGCTCACCGAGCAGGCTGGGACGTGGGGAGATCGGTTGCCTTCTCAGGGGTGACTTCGACGGTGACATTTCACAGGCATGTTCCAACATTATTGTGCTCACTCACTTCCACTTTCTGCAGTAGCCCTGCAAAATATCGCGGGCGTTAGCGCCCCTAACCGTGACCACAATTGTATCGCAGGGCACCTCAGAGCCACAGATTGCAACCTTGACGCGCAAAGCTGATAAAAGCTACATTAACATTTCCCCCACTGAGCTCCGTTGCTGATAATAATGCTTCAGCCACGCAGTCCACCACTCTCACGACAAAACCTCCAGCACTTCCTCTTTCCCGGAAAGTTCAGTGCCACGGATGATTTTCTCTCGCGGCACGAGGGCCCTTCGTTAGCGGCCGCTCTGGAGAGAGCCCCTCTGGAGGGTGTTTGGCCTACTCTCCCACACTGGCCGGTGAGAATGGCCCACAGTTTACCGCACCAAACGCGACCTGCCGATGGACTGTGTTGTACCCATTGATGGATCTGGCTGGATAGAGGTGGGCGGTGGGCAGTGAGGGATTTAAGCAACTCGCCTCATTGATTCAACTATCAAGCTGGAAGATCGTACAAGTGTGAGCTTCAATGGTGCGGTGGCGTGATGTTATCTTCCTCGCCTGGTATGCAGGAGGATGGGGGTTCGATCCCGATCCCGACCCTGTCGCCTGCTGCTCTACATTTGGAGTTTGCGTGTCTCTCTCTCTCTTTGTGGTCGCGTGGATTTTTCCTCCGGGTCCTCTGGTTTTTCCCTCCACATTTAGAATCAACATCGCCACGCGTTCAGAGTATTCGGCTGCTAGACATTTGCACGCAATAAGCCACTTCGTTTGTGGCCAGGTCGCTCCTGAAAAAGCTCAGAGCTTAGTGGCATTTACCTGATCAAATGAAATAGTTTAGTTTTATTTTTTTTTGTTTAGCTTTCCTATACTTTGCACTCCCTTTCGTGTTTTGGTACTGTTTGTTGTTGTAACGTTCTGACGCCGTGCCCCTACTGGACATCTGTGAAAAAAAGAGCGTTATAGCTCATCGGATTCCTCCTGCAGTCTAAATAAAGACTCTGATTGTGCTCGCATCGTTCGGTCTATTCGCTTGCGGGGCGTCAATCGTTGCCGTTCCTATTTGTTACCGTCCTCCGTCGTGCTTTTGATCGTTGGGCCTATTTACTGCGTTTTTGATCGCGCTTTCACTTTCCTCCGCCGAAACTGCCCGGGCCGCGAACCTTCTCCCAGCGCCGATGTGAAATTGTCGCCGCCACCCTGCGGATCTTCCAAAACCGCTTCAGCGTCGTACCGTTGGAACAACTCTGGTAAAGATAAAGTGCTTTTTTTTTTGGTAAACCTTGCACCTCCTAATGTTTGGCATGACCCGGCTACATGCATTCGTACGAAATGACGTCAAAGCGCATTTCGACTGCATAGTTGAGGCGAGTGCCGATGATAACCTAGGTTGAGGCTAAATAATAATGTAATGAATAAAGTGTTATTTTTTTGTTCGTACGAGAATATGTACACTGGGTGGGGAGCGCTGCATGAGCCCGAGATGGCTTCAGTTTGGATATCTCAGAAGGTTTTGGGGTCCACTTAATGGTGAACCTCACGGCGTGGTCCGCTGGAGGCATCTTGAATGTTGGTAACGAGTGGCGGCGCAGTGGTTTACACACTGGCATATGGACCCATCGTTGACCCAGGTTCAATTGCAAGGAGGTGGTTTATTACATCGGTGGTGAATGTTATCTGAACTATAACTGACCACCCCCTCCCCCCCCATTTCCCCCCTCCCCCCACTTCATCATTGTAAATTCAAATATGCTTAAAATGCCCCCCCCCCCCAATATATTGCTATAAAAATATCGCTATGCTATGTAAATAAAAACAACTATTTGATACACCTTGGCCACAATATCTGGACTTGTCTTCATATAAATCAATGCATAGATTTATGTTTATATGATTGTGGTTGTAATGTATTAATCCCTAATCTCTTCCATTACATACTGTACAATGAAACAAGAAATGGTACAACAAAAGTTAAAACAGAGCAATGTGATACAATATACACTATTAGACATTATTGTAAAAAATAAATAAAAAGTCCATCCCATGTGTTAGTGATTTTTTTAATATTTTAGGCAGGAAATTCGTTTTCAAATTTAGATATTTTTCTGGGGGGGGGGGTACCCCCAGCCCCCCTGGAAGATTTGGTCCCCCCCAATGTTGACTCCGTGGCTACGCCTTGGTATATTGTCATTTTTTTCTCGAAAAAACCATCATGCCCATTGAATAATTCTCTTTTTTTATATTCTCTGTTCAACATTTCCCCTCATGAGTACCTTTTTTAAATTAGAGAACTTTGCTTTAACCAACACTTACATAGCCAAGCAAAACGAGGTGTGTGGTCGATTGGCCACATGATGATTCCGTATTGTACAGACACATTTGCATCGTTAAAGTACAGTACTGTGTTCAGGGAAACAGCACCAACAATTTGTAAGTTTCCTTCCTCGGTTAAGCTTCGTGAGCATAAAATAATGCAGTGGTCTCGCGCGTGAGCCGGTAAAGGTTTTAATGTGAGTTTAGGAGCCAAAGGAATCCAACTCAAACGTGTTGAATGTCGATTTAAAGCTTTCGTGACTGCAGGGATTCATCTTCTTGGTTCTTTCGGTAAAGTCACCACCACGTAGAATGGAAATAAAATAATAAAAAATCAAACGTAATAAAATAAAATTCTCACGACGTTTCGGCCACAACACAAGCAGCCTTCTTCAGGTGAAGAAACAGGACTGTCCAGAAGACAGCGCTTCAGTGAACAATGCCAACCATGGACCGCGTCTTTTACTGGTAGGAACGAAGTTGTAAACTGAGTGTACCAGCCTGCAATAGATTAATGTGTCCATCCGTCCGTCCGTCCCCTTTCAATACTTTAACGAAGTGAAAAATTCCAATGTTCCTACCAGCCCACCCTGCAGGGACCTGTTAAGCTTAAGATAATTTTATTTTATTATGTTTTATTTTTATTATTTTTTTTCAGATTCTAGGTGACTTTACCTAAAGAACCAAGAAGACGTGTTGAATGTGTTTAATGTCATCGCAGCCATATACATCATAGCAGTCCACCACGGTGGACATGATGCAAGAGCAGGTTGATGTTTTAGGTACCAATAGTCAATGAGATCAATATTTCGTGAACACTATGTATTATTGTTATTTGGCCAGTGCCACAGATATTGCTTCGGCCGAGCTGTTCGCAAAAATCGCGCTTTTGCAGAAAAAGGACATAACAGCAAGAAGTTTAGTCGGTACATACCTTAGCCTTCTACTGTCCTTCCAACCATTCACCTCGTAGCTTTTCCGCAGCCGTGCAGTTTGATTAACGCTTAATTTTGGTCGTGTGCGAGCGGAAACTGTGGTTGTTCTTGGGGTTTTTTTTTTACAATTTCGTGGTAATTTTCCACTTCGCATCAATATCCCCTTTATGAAAATGTTGCTGAGCACAGGCACGCACGTACACGCACATGCCGTGTGTTCCCGCTGAAATGACATTTCCTTAAAATGGGAACTTTTATTTCTACTCTTTGGTTCTTTCGGTAAAGTCGCGTGTAGGTTCCTTACTCGGTTAAGTGTCGTCGGTAGCCACGTGACGTTACCGAAAAAAACTAAAGAGGAGGGATTCCTGCAGTCACGAAAGCTTCAAATCAACTGTTTATTTGCATGTAATTAAATTTATTTATTTTCGTAGACCGCGG